AGTTTGATATCAATCAAAATAATAGAAAAAATAGCGATTCTGTGTATTTTTACCTAGTTTTTTATATTGAACGTTCAGAAAACTAAAGCAACAAAATTGGTATAGTTTTGTCCATTATGAACACTCAAGAGTATGCCCACCTTGACGTATGTTTCCCGAAGACAACGTTACATGCATTTATCAGCAAAACGAACTTGGTACTGATGTTTCTCGATTCAGGATATATACTCAAGTTGTAATACGCACTTGAATCTTAAGATCCGAATATATTTTACTTCCGTCAAAAACTCAAAGGTTTCAAAAAATCGCTCTTTTTGTCACATTCAGCAACGCATCAATCGCGTTTATTTTTCCAACACTCACACATTTGCATTCGACTTTACCTCCTATGTTTTTAGCTTTGATCAAAGCATCCAATATTGTAGATCAGAAGGAAAGATGACACATGATCCACGGAAACTGTGATGGAAGACAACTCCTTTCGGTTCCTGCACGGAACTCTTCGCTGTTTTTCTTCGAGATGTCTATGCAAGGTTGAGTTCGGCTGACACACGTCATTAGATATCACTGGCCAGACAGCAGTAGACACTTTTTTTCTTTTTGAAAAGCCCGTTGTCACGACAAGCTGGAACAAATGTGTGTATCCAGTATATATTACTGCACGTAATTTTTCTGGCTTGAGATTCGTTGAGAAGCGAGTAATCGTGAATTTATCAAAATAAAGCCAAGATTTTTTGCAACCCGGTTGTCCGTTTGATGAACCGTAAATGCACTGCGTCGCAGAAATGCTTTCCGAAGCGAAATTTCGCCGACTCTTCATCATCCTCAATTCAGAACGCTTCGGGGGTTGAATAGAGCTGACGAGTACAGTACCACTAATGAGCCGAAAAGGCTCGTTTCCTCGACGGTTTTCGTGTCAAGGTTACCAAATCTTCATTTCCTGGCGTATCTGTCTTTCCATGATTTGTCAGAGCGTGCCGGAAATATGTTCTTAATTTTGGGAAAATTGAACTTCTCTACGGAATATCAACGTTTGCTTTTGATTCGAGCACATTTCATGCATTCTATCAACTGTCGAAGCTGACAGCTATCGTCCGTGGAAATTGCTTTTTTGATCGAAGGCTGAAATTTATTATTTAAATGACTGTATCTGTGTACGCGCACGTTATTACGAAGCTTTTATCGTGTACCTTGATCAGGACAGCTCAGAATAGAGCAGTTATTGATGAAGCTTTGCTGATTACTACTACAGTACTGTACTTCAAAAGATCTCGTTTTCTTTCTCAAAAGCGAGAAGTTGTACTATAATGCGGTTCTTAATTTCAGAAAAGTATAAATTGACGTATGAAACCTTGACCTTCATGAAGCTTTCCATAATCGATTCCTCAATTACTTCACACTACGACACTATACTCCCCATCCCCCGGAATACTGTATTTTGAAAACTAAAAAGTGGCTTTCCCTCCAAATGAAAGTACTTACAGTATTTGGATTCGTATTGGCCGCACCGGGGTCACTTTTACGTACCAGTAGGATATTCGAGTCTAGGCCGCCTTAAAGACTCTTACTCGTATATGAGCAGAGTTTGAAGTATAAAAGCTAAAAAGCAATTGAAATTACAACAGGAAATATTGCAGGCTTGACCGCGGTGAATTTTTCTCCAAACTTTTCAAATGTGAGCTGCCCAAGCCCTGCGTCACTCAAAATTAATGCCCAACTCGGACTTCGGCCCTTAGCCTCGTACGGTTTATGGTCGCATCCATTCGGTTTTTCGATAGCATTGAAACGCAGGTTCACATCGCCACGGAAACCCGTTCGTGGAAATATCCCTGGCCCTTCTCCTGGCTTTCCAGGTTTCTACAGAAAATGGGCACAGGCATGCCGTAAAAATAGCTTGCAAGTTACAAAGGGCGTCCGGAAGCATAAATTGCGTTGTCGGCCGAGCCCGGGGGATGGTGAGAGAAAAGAAGCTTGGGAGAGGAAAAAATAAATTAGGACGACTCCACCGCGGGAAACCCCCTGGGCTGGAAAGGAGAGAATGCGGGGGGGTTCCTTGATTTGTTGGGCCAACTCATGGCCATTCCGCCCAACAACGCGTGGCGGATTTCCGGAAACGTCGTGTCCCGTAGTCGTAACCCCAGCCCGCAACTCTCGACAAACTCGCGACGCAGTTGGAAAGAATTTCGCACTCGGATGGTACCTGGCTTACGACGGCGCGGAAATCCCGTTTCCATCCCGGATGTCATCATTTGTTCGCACAGGGAAACGCTAGGCAAGGATATTCCTCGCACGATGAAGCCTGCGGGGCACTGATTAACCGTCTGCGTGCTCCGAGTACCACGTCAAAGAGGAGTATTGTCGTGTTTTCCATAATTTAGTCATCGCGATGAACGCTCCGGTGCTGGGCCGCAATCAAGAGACTGAAACTCTACGAGCTGAAGGAAGGCTCGTCCAAGATCAAGGTGACAATAAAAGACCTGTCTTCTACCCTGTATCAACGACCATCTCTTACTTTGTCTGCCCAGAACGTAAAATAAACATGTAACTGGAACTGGAATACGTTTTACTGTATTTACGGTAATCGAATTGTAAAGCATTGTCGTATCGTCCATAATGTCGAAGTCATTGCGATAAAATACGCTTTATTGGTGATGGAACGCAATCAAGAGACTGAAAGAAGTATCCTTGTTTATTTCTTATTGCTATTTGTCGTTAAATATACAATGTCGAAAGCATGTATCAAACTTCAGCGAACATTGTTCTGCCAGTCATATTTTTGGTGTGAACGTGAATATCTTTCAGGAATGATCATTTCACTCGCAGTCGTTTATCTGATTCATGGCCTGCTATCAGAAACAATTTTTGGTGGCATCGGAAATCATTTTTCTTAAAAATACTGTACATTGTACTAAGTTTATTTCAACAGTAAATACCACTAAATTTCGTGCTTCAGAAGAAACGAGAAGCCTAATATTCTCAAAAAATGTTAAGCTAAAAATAAAGCGCAACAATTCTTCAATTCTGCAAAAAATAAATAAAATTCTATCTTCGGTTGTCCAGCAAAATTTTTTCCGTTTCTGAGGCTTTAAAAATCGAAGGTGGCTCTTGAAAACTATGGCATCTTACTCGTACATCTGAACATACAAAGCAGAAAATAAAATTCATAATTCAAGTACTGTCCAGTATATGAAAATTTGCAGAGAAAAAAAAACTTTCGAAAATAAAATTGACGACAGGATTTGAGTGAACGGGTTCTTAAGCCCGTATAAAATATGTCTCAGAATTCCCACTACTTTGATAAACTATTTTGACCTACATTCTCTTAGAATCTGTTTCTTGGAATACAGTATTTTAAAAGATCAGCTGTTTGCATTTACCTTTTCCTAGGAAAAGAAGAAATGAATTCAAGGGCTTCCATGAGTTCTTTCTCCTCAGACCCCATTCAAATATTTAGTCTGCGGTGTTTAACCTCGAACACAGTTCTGTTCCGGGAAGCATCCGCATGTAGGTAAACCAACAAGAAAATAAATGCATACAATGAGGTTTGACTGAGAGAAAGAAGCTCGCGAGCAAGTGGCAGCCCCGTCGAGGGAAACGCTTTCCCACCTATAATCCTCTCGCCCGGTTTATCGACGAGGCCTTATTTTTGCGCACTCGAGAGCGCCCACTTTGCATAGATATTGTTTCGATTATGAAGGCTCGCCTCTGTAAACAACTGCAAGATTCGAAATATCCAAGATTTCCGCGATCACTCTTTCGTTTGGAAATGTCTGGCGGAGCGCGAACAAAAAAAAAAAAAAAAAAAGATTCGCCGAGTTACCCACTTGCTCTTCTCCAGGCAATCGCGACGAATCCTCGATACAACTCCGAGGCAATAGAGTCACGCCTTTTCGCGATATTTTGTCTCGGAACGAAATCCCGAACCAAAGTCCTCCACCAAAATTTTTGTACCATTCAAGGCATGGTTCAAAAGCTGTTTGCTAGTACAGTGCAGCAATATGGAAATGAAGGACTTTTCGTAACCAAGTTTCGAGGCAAAAATATCCCGAACACCATGGATTAGCAAAATAAAATGAAAGCAACCCTCGTTTCACTTCCTAAGGGTTTCTTATTTCCCATGCTGTCAAGACTTGGGCTAATGCTAGCTCACCAAAAGACATTCTGGGGCAAAATACGCATTCAGCATAGCTGGAAAACATTGCCAAGATGGGGAAATATATGTTAGGCAGCAAATTTGGAATTTTATGGTCATGAAATTCGATAAACGCTCAAGGGTTGCGTTGTTTCTTTACAGTGATGAGGTGTCTTTTCGACTCTCTGTCTTCGCTTCATCGCAGTTTGGGTGAGCGAAAATTGGACTAAGCGTCAGAAAATGACATACAACTTGCTATAAACTTTACTTAAATTCAGTACAACTCTAACGAGGAAAGCGAGATAGAGATAAACTACAACCGATGATTTGTGTGATAATTCTACTGGAATAACAATGATTTGGGATTATGAATGTGTTGAAATTTCGTACAGGTAGAATCAATCGCGTCTTCCCTCTCGAACGCGATTTTCTCCTGCTCACATGATGCGGGGTTCTTGATTCGCGAAGAGCATTCCCTCTGACGTGGAATCCAGTGCTGACGAGATGGAAGGATTTGCCATTAATTGTGAGCATACTCGACACTACATCGCCTCCCTAGAACATCCCCACGGGGGGGGGGGGAGCGATGAAATCATCCGCCGACGTGGTACAGAGTCAGGCGGCAAATGCATTCAAGGATAATCGCCCGGAGTAAATCAAGGCTGATCTTCTCCGCATTCACCCCGTCGAGGCATTCTCGGCAAGTGTCGCGGAATCGCGCAGCTTCGGGAAAATTATTTCGGCCTCCTAAAGAGGGGTAAAGCTCGGAAATTCCTGCGCCCCCCGGAGGGGTGTTCTTCTACTGCCCGGACAACGCCCGGTGACAATAATGGCGTCGACTGGACAAAGGAAATGAAGTGGGCGCATCATGCCGCGGCGCCTGAGAGATGAATGGGATATCCAGCAGAATCACTACGGGATACCCCGGCTAGAAACACCGCAGATGAAATCTCGTTCGCCCGAGGCGGAAATCAGCGCGTCCGACGGTCCAGGTTCTCGTCAGGAAATGCAGCGGCGAGTCCAAAATGTTCTTCTGGAAAAGCAGCAGCAGGTACTATATAGAATCAAAATCACCCGGGGCTTATTGTGGCTGGGTGCTGTCTCATTCGGGTAATTCAGTGTCATCCATGCTCGAAAATTAAGATAATTGCCCAAAGAGAACAAAATGATTTTTATGATGACAGCGATCCCGCAAATCTCTAGAAGTAGCGCATTTCCAAGATTTTTTCAGGATCTTTTTTCTTCAGAGAACTTTTGGATATTTAGGTGATTTCTCCGCACGAGATCCTGTTGACCGTACAGTACTTTTATATTTTTCTGGGATTTCTGATTTTTTTTTGCACTCAAGGCCATAATTTCACATGCATTTCCATGAATAATTCAAATTGATAGGAGGAGGATAAAGCTGCTCAAATTCAAATCACAGTGACTTTTCCTCGAATTGACTCAAAATTCCTGAACAATGAATCGAATTCAATCGAGTCTGTACCGTAATCTACATTCAATCCAGACTGAAAATTAATCCAGGATATCACGCTTTCTTGGTCCTCCCTTATTCGCGCGAACCGAAGCGGAAACTCATTTTTGACTGCTACTTCCTCAATGGCGCTGACGAATTCCTTCTTCATGCCTCCACATAACGCAGAAAGCACATTTCGTAGTATCCATACCACGATTTTTTCCCTGCTGCAATCTTTTGCTCATACTGCAATTCGTCCACAGTGGGAAAGCAGAACAGTTTAGAATTATAGATCACGGCAGTACTGAATAGAGATCGCGTGTTTACCTGAAAGGCGGATTTATCGTGCGGACAAATGTGGTTGACAGAAAGCGTCCTTGTTTACATGATGGTAGCTGGAAAAGCAAATTCTATTTCAGTTATATCCCGTCTTATTGGTTCCCAGAGGTGAGTTGAACTGGTTTCTAGATTCCTGCATTCTTTTCGGTTTCAGGAGACTTCGAAGAAACGAAAAATTGACATGAGGGGTTTAAAATTAGATTTCTATCCACGAAAAATTTATCCAATTCTTCGGTTTTTTTTTTTCTCCGTAGTTAACATTTTTATTACCCGCTCTGATTGAGGCCGCTTCTAAGGCAGAGTTCTTCATGGTAACACCTTGATACAGTAATCCAAGACGTCGAAGAGCTTCCTAGTTATGCACAGTACCCTACTTGACACGTCTATCGATATTTCTGAGAGGTCTTCTATGGTTCAATTGCACGACCTTTTGAGTTATCATCAAACCTTTTGAGTCGATGGGATGAAGAATTTGAATTTTCCCACGGTCTCGTCACTTATCAAGCTCAGCTCGGAAATATATATCCTACATGCAGAAAGGGCATGCCGCAGTTCCTATACGGGGCATTTTCAGGGGTTCATTTCGCATATTTATGAAATAGTATGCAGCAAGCAATTTCATGTTTATCCTCAGGTCACTCACCGATTCCTCGAGCCTACCCCCGAGAGTTTATGCTCTTTTTTTAAATCGACTATTCGCATGATTGACCCGAATGCCCGAATCGCGGGTTCATTGCAGCAAAGAGGAAACTAAGGGATCAAAGTTGCCGTGAATCTTCGTTGCCTAGACTAGATAAACTCATGCTATGTGGAAGCCACATTTGAGGCCGATTTGCCAATTTTTACTATGCGTTATTTGTAAAGATCAAGTCGTCACTCTCCTCCGCAATTAATGTTTCATTGAAGTTTGGATGAATGTGGGAGGGGAGGGGGTTTGAATGTGGGAACATTGTTTGAACCTTAATTGTGAACGCTGAAAAGTGGAATATAAAGCTTGCTGTTAAATTCAATTCAATTGAAGTGTTTCGTGTTCGGCCGACAGCCAAAAGATTTTTTTTTTCTGCCAATATCTAAAAAAAAAAAAAAGAACCGCGGTTTATTCCCACACTTTTGCACAGTACTTGTATATACTGTATATGTACGCCAATGTCAATGTCATCCGTTTCCAGGGATGCTATCCGCGAATATGGGAATTAATGACCAAAAACCTCGTAATTAAGAATAGTGATCGTGAAACGTCTGTCGTTCACGACTTTTCAGCGTGAACCCTTCGACTACAGCCAGACGGATGATGCTAAACTAAGCCTTTTCGTTTTTTTTGTTTTGTTTTGAATAACTCCCTGTCGTTCTGCAGTATACTACAGTATCAATGAATGGACGTCGACAGTTGGACAGTATTCAAAAAGATTAAAGAAGTTTGAATTGCAGTTTTTCGGCATGTGCCCCGCGGCCTTTTCAGGGAAATACGGAACAAACAATTTAATTGAATGCATCAAGATGTGTTTTTTCTGGAAAAAATAAGCAGCCCATTTTGTAACCTGAAAGAAAAAACCATGAAAACAAAACTTTGAAAAACGGCAATCTTTGAAAAACGATGAAATATTTGGAAAGAATCACCCGCTTAAAACAACTTTTCAACGCAAGCGATAGACCTTATGTGCTCCGCAAACATGTGGACAGTTACGAAAACTATGCAATAGAAATTGACAGCATAAACAGGGCTCTATAATAAGGCAAAAACGTCGATTACTTAGTCTCACGCCTCGTGAACATATACTTTTAGTGGGCCTTTCGGGATCTCAGGTTTTTATTGTCTTCCAAACAACAACAACAAAATCAGGAGGACGACAACTAGAAACTTTCACGCTGTCGGTCTCCAATAAAACTGCTTGCAGTTTAAATTCATCTTAGTAATAAAGATCCCCGGCCGAAGATTCACAAAATGTGCGTTTGTATCAACAGCAACTTTTATAAAAAATTAAAAAGAATGTCTTTAAGTGTTTTGTTGTTCTTCGTTGAACGGAGGGAAGATTTGAAAGGAATAAAGCTAAGAATAGATACGCTTTCGGTCGGAAAACAAACGAATTACGTTTCCAACTCAGAAAAAAATTTTAAAAAATAAGAAAACGACTTGGCCTTAGCAATCCGAGACGTTTTTCTGAGAAGAATGCATTTTTTTACCCTGTGGAAGTTATTGCTTTACGATAAGGAATTTTTTTTCTCCGAGCAGAGAAAGTATGAAAAAGAAACCAGAGCCATCAGGTAACAGAAATGAAAAGGATTGCTTTACGGCTACAATTCTTTCTTCTTCCTTCCCACGAGCGTATACAATGATGAAGAAAACAGGAAAAAGGTTCTGTACTTCATCACTTCGCGAACAAACGGCCTCCATTTCTAACGCGTCCCAAAAGCAAAAATCCCGGAACCGAAAAAAAGGGGGATCCACAAATATGAGCCGAAGCCTCGTTATTTCTCGGGATGAGGTCAGGAAATCGATACGTATGAGTCCCTGCCCAGTAATCGGACCTCCTGCTACACAATTCGGCCATCTCTGACTCACCGGATACAGTGCCGAGGACTGGCCACAGCAGGAGGATCGTGGCGCTGACAACGAACGCTGGACGTGCCATTGTATCACAAATTGTCTCTGCCATCGAGTCCGACCGGTCAAGGCATGTCGTTCTGGCTGACGTGTGTCGGAGTGTCTCCGGGCAACATCGACTGCAGTCTTAAATCGAACCACGATTCGTTTCCTTCCTGTTCGTTTCGAGTTCGAACACGCACACGCGACGAAGTCACTACGAGTGGGGAATTTACTCTCTGTCTCTTTTATGCGACAGTGACTCGCGAGAATTCAGACGCACTCGCCTGGCTCAGCATCGAGTCCGATATCTTCGAAGCGTTTGCGTTCTCCAGTATCAACTATAATTATATCAAGGAAATCATCCCGTGACTTCAACAGCTAGCAAATAATTCAACTATACTTCAGCATTTTTTTCCACCGTGCAATTCTTGATCCCGGAAAAAATGTGCTAACCTTCGTAGCATAAAGAAGACACACAAGTTACGGATTAATGCAGTTGAAGGTTCCAGATAGTCATGCATAGATTCAAAGAAGCAGAACGAATTCAAGTGTCGTTTCATGTGCGACGCGTCGCAGACTGCAGCAGACTGCGACTCGTTGTAGACCGAAGAAGGGATCCGCGCTGTGAGGACGCGCAGATGATTCAAGAGAGCCGCGCGGCTCTGAAGAAAACGCGCGTTTGCAGAACATCCAGGTCGGACATTTGAACCTCGAGTACAGTATGCGAAGAAAAATGGAAATTTCCTGCTGGCACCTTTCTCTCCGTAATTTGCCGATAATTGCTTGAAATTGCGGGCTGCTATTTTCTTCGGCGTTGAAAGGCGGTTTCCTCGGGTATTCTTCTGGATAATCAAATGCAGCGCGTCCCCGCTTTACAAAAGAGCCTCGCTAAAAAAAATGTGTGCGAATTTTTTTCAAGGAGAATGAATGGACTGACACGACGAAATTTTTCCACGTAAGAGAAATTTTCGGCAAGAAAACTTTTAAATTGTACAAAAATGAGTTTTGAATGAACACTTGAGGATTTCTGAAATCGAGGAAAAAGTGCAAAAGACGGGAAGAATTTTTACTCTTTTGTTTGAAATTTTTGAATTTTGGAAATTCAAGAGTACAAACTATATAGTCAATACTATCTCAATTGTATACTAATATATTCTAATCAGAAATTTCATTCTGAAAACATGTGAAAGTGCACCGTTGTCAAGGTTGATCGTGGTTTCTTATCGCCTAGAGCGGACTAAAATCTTACTAATTGTAATCTCGAAGGGAATCACACGGAAAAGTTTGCATTACAGAACAGACCCATGATTCCCGTTTTATCATGTGGGCAACCGGTATACGATAAAGTAATGAAATATTCTATTCAATTGGGAGACAATTCAAAAAGATACCTGTCAGCATTAACGAGTTCCATTGCAACATATGTGTTACAAGGCTTTTCTTGAAGAATTAAAAAAAATTGCAGTTTAAGCCAAGGACGTAAACAGGCTTTGCAGCCACTGCAGACTCGGGCCACTTGTTCCCCAGTCGGTGGTACATAAACATTGGATGTCTCTGAAGTGATCCAGTTACAAAAAATGTTGGAAAACCTTGAAACAAGCAAAATCTTGCACATCACGCAGTATACAAAATCTTGCACATCACTCTTACAAAATCTTGCACATCACTCGTATTAGGTCGATGAGTTATTAAAATCAAGCAGAGGAGGAAAGTGGCAGAAGTTGAAAGCTTGACTAAATGGTGGCTTAGATAGTGTTTGATGAATCAAAATTTGGATCGTCAGTTAAAGAATCGTTTGATTGCGTCGGGCTAAATTATTTATGATATATATTTCAATTCTGTCTTCAAATTCAGTCGAAGAAAAATTGAGAATGCTTCTTGTCTTAACCCTACGTTCAGAAGTTATAGCAAGTAAATACGATGTGGGATAAAATTTAGTTTGAAAGATTTTTTCATTTTGGAATACCTTTCGAAGGATCTATCCCACTTGATCGGAACTTCATGTGAGGATTTTAACCAACATACCCCTTTTCAAATGTTTCTGGAGAAAGCATAGTGTTTGGAGCAACCCACAGATGAATGTGTACTTCAGTGCGTGATTATCTCGTAGTTGCTATTTTATGACTGCTCTCTCACTTATTCGCCCCACTTGTTTTTAAGGGCTGAGTTTACGATTTTACATGCATTAAAATGTCTCATGCCATCTGGAATGCAAGTAGAATTCTAATTACAGGACACGACCCACTTTTCCGCAGAAAATTTGCTTCTTCTGATGTCAGAATCAGTATTTGTGGTTGGCTTTAAAAGAATTTGCACAAGACTTTTTCCGAATTTGAAGAAAAACCGAAGTGGAAGAGCGATTACGCAGCTCCCAAGCTAGATTGGATTTTTTTCTTAAAGTCAAAGAGGGATAAAAATGAGACAACAGGCAACCGTGCCAGTTAGAGTGAGACTGATACTATATTCATGATTTCAAGCACCTTATATACACAGAACAACAAGCATGAGCATATTGGCACTTCTCAACAATAAAACAAGTCCTGGAAACCAGGAAATTTTTCAAGGATGAATTCGTACAATTGCGTAATTCGCGACGCGAATTTACGAAGCAAATATCTCCATCGATTTTAAAGATACAAAATCGCGCAACGTCTTAAATTCAAGATCACAATGTTTCCAACACTTTTTATGATAACAAAAATGTTGATATGACGCGTAGTATTTGAGATATTTTGATTTCCGCGAAATTACTTTTCCGCCGTAACTCTTTGGTGATAAAATCTGCACACATTTCCGCCTGATGAAAATCGCTAAAAACCAGGCGCGGCAAATAAAAATAAAGTTCTCCCACTTGGGGCATTCAAAAAGAAGAATACAGTTTTTCAGCTACAAGGTTTCACTAAAAAGTTCAGGCTGCAAGTATGAACATGTGTATTCTCTAAAATTGAATTTCATTCATTGTTGGCCAGATGACTAAGTTTCTATACATACTTGGAGGTGGATTTCATGTAGCATTTAATTCATGCAACAATGACATCACCAATTACAATTTCCTATAAATCTCTCTTTCTTTCTCCAAACAAAATGCTTCCTTCCCTAACTTAGAACCTCCCCCCACTTGAATATTTAAGTTGGTCCCTTGAAGTTTGACTCACACAGGTTTGACTGTATACTGTACAGTATTGCTCTTGTTTAATGAATTATTTTGGGTTCCTGCTGCTGGTAGTTTGCTGAAGCGAGATTTTGCCATAAAAACTACCGTACTTACTAAAGTACCACATGCACAGTTTTTCTCAAAATTGAGAGGGGAAAAAGGGGAGTGCACGCCATAAATGGGGATACATTTTTAAAAGGTTTATAAATTCAGGTGTGCATTAAATTTGATTCGATTATGGAAAATATTGGACCAATTACAATCACAATTAATATTGAACCTACTGTAATGGAAATTATTGAAAATTTTTGAATTCAGTATCAAATCATGACTAAATTTAAATGTGGGTGCAATTATTTTTGAAAGCTTGCAGTTTTAGAGTCACTAAAAATGGCGTGCGTGTCTTATTCCAGGCTTAAATTTTTTTTATTTCTCTGAAATGCCCTGGCTTGCACCTTGCTCAAGGGCAGTGGTACTTGAGTACATTTAGGCCTCAGCTTATGAACTTAAAGCTGAATAGTTTGTAAGCCACATCGCATTTTCCCTAAACCCTTGGGCGGTGGGGTATTCTTTTCCATCCTGAGGCAGTGCTGGGATATTTTCGTAATCAGGTGCGTTTTGGTTTGACTGAAGGTCACCAAAACGCAAGCTGAGCTAGGTGGCCGAAGTATGGATATTTCCGTAATTTTGGCCCTCCTGCATTTTCCCAAAGTCGGGATTTGTTTGCATAAGCCCTTATATTATCCTTCTGCAGTTTGAATATAGAGAAATAAAAAAGTAAATGTTATAAGGGCCTTCGACTGTGTTTAGAGAATGTCTGTGCTGGTGACAATTGCTAAAAAAAAAAACCCTGACTCCAAAAATCCAAATTTTTCACACACAGCTTATTTTTCCCAGGGAAGATTCAAGGATCAGACTTTGAGGCTTTTTAATCACAGAAAGAATGTAATAGAAGGTTTAAAATTTCCCACACCAGCTGAGAAAGGTTAAAACCTAAAATTTCCGTTTATTACTCAAGATTGTTTTGTGGCTTTGTCTCTCCAATTATATTGTCTACTGCCATGTCTCTGGGATCCAACCTAGAAAAGGAAAGAAAAATACTTGCTGTGAGCTTTTTTTTTTCTTAGAAAAATTTTTCCTGAGCTGCAAACAAATTCTGGTATTTATCCCAACTCCGGCTGGAGGCATCAGATCCTAACTGGCATTTTTTGCTTCACAGGGGTCGGTTTTTGCAAATTAAGAAAGTTTAGACCAACAACTTAGGATTAAACATTTTTTAATGCTAAAATATATCGAATTTTAACCCAATTAGAATGAATAAGAAATTGGTGGCCAGGAATTGGTCTTAAAACTTGTGAGACATTCTTAGATGAATTAATGAATAAGTTTAAACATGAATCCCTAGATTGTGTTGAAGAAATTTTTTTCAACTTATCAGAATTACAGTCAACCCCCATCTAATGGACTTAATCCATGCAATGGACAAGTCTGTTGGACAAAAAGTCCTTCAGTCAAATTCAATTAAATAAAAAGTAAAACGTTTCATTGTCATTGCTAATTTTAAACCAAAACAAAAGTCTGTTAGGCGGATTTGGTCTGTCAGGCAAGAGGAAAAACTGCCTGCAGAGCTGGTCTGTTAGGCAAAAATCTCTTACACATGAGGTCTGTTAGGCAGGGGGCCACTGCAATTTGGAGAACTCAAAGTTTGTAAGCTGAGTCCTGGTTTGTTAGCTGGAGCAACTGAGGCCAAAATCAAAACTTTGTTTGCTGAGAAGTTTGTAAGCCAGGGCATCTGTAAAACAATACCCCACTGTAGTGGTAACTGGATTAGGAAATTTCTGTGCATGGATTTTTGTTGTATTGATCAATACATTTCTCTTTTGTGGTGGCCATTTAGATTTATCTGTCAACCATTTAGGCCCGTTCCACCATAATTCAGATTCCAGTAAGGTTTTTATGGGAATTCATCTTGATGCCATATGTTGGGGAACCAGAACTTGGGCCCAGGGACGTCAGGTCCCAGGACCTGAATTCTGGTCCCGTTTTCCTTTGTGCATTCATTCCCAGATGCGCAACTTCTTTGAAACACATTTGTTCTGCCAATCACAGGCAAGAAAAAAATGTCCAATGCTTCAGTCAGGTCAGCTGACTGAAGCATTGTGCTAAATTGCATAAAAACCCAGCACTCTTCCACTCCCAATAATCAGTCCTTAAAATTAGCTCTTGCATTAAACGTCCCTCAAACATTCCAACCCCAATTCTTCTGCTCGACTTCTTGTATTGCATTATTGCACCCTAAATTTGTGTGCACAAATTTATTGTTTTTATTGAATGTGTGTTGCATCATTGCATTTATTGTGATGTATCATTTGTGTATTGTATTTTATTTTGGACTGTGATTAAACCAGACAAAACTAGGGATATGTAATTAAGGTACCCCCTTAATTACATATTCCCGGCTGCAAACCAGCTGATTGCCCTGCCTTATCAGTTCCCACCTTTTCTTCCACTGCGCTATGGTTCAATTCTTCATGTTGGGTTGATTAATTCCTCAAAACCATATCTGCTGGATTTTCCTTTCCAGGTACATGTCTCCAATTAGAAATGTACCAGTTCTTTTGGCACAGTTGATTTTTTTTTTACATTGTCCTCGTTTCTCTTTCCAGTCGGAGAAAACGAAGAGTCTCACAGCGACGACGAAACCCAAGTCCGCAAAACGTCCACCAGCTCTACCAAGTCCAACAAGATCCCTGTGAGGCGGACGTCTGAAACCAAGGTCGTCCGCAAGGTGTCCGACGCTGACCGGAAATCCCCGACGTCACAGAGCCGCAAAGCGTCTGTCCAAGAGCGGAAGGCCTCGGGGATCCCGATGCGAAAGACGTCGGATCGCACCAGCCCGACTTCCGACAAAAAGCGGAAGACGTCCGACTCCAAGAGGAAGGCTTCCGGGGAAATGAAGAAGCAGCAGAGTGTGGAGGAAGACGCCGAGGTGTCCACGTTGTTGCAGGCGCCGGAAGTCGTCCGCAAGACCGCCTCGTCCAGCACCACCTCCGAAACGTCGTCGGCCGTCAAGGTGTCCAGCAGCACCACTCACAGCGTGGTGCACACTGGCGGCATTTCCTCGAAAACCACGACGACCACGACCACCGTGGCGCATCAAGAGGTCCTGGTCAACAAGCCCACGACTCTCCGCTTAGGTAAGAGCTATATTAGTGTTTAGACTTAATATTACAGTGGGTAACCGAAAAAGAAAAAAAAGCGCACAAACAGAATTTCGCATCGCGAAAATTTTTAGGAGAATTTTTTCGTTTTGTTTTATTTTCAATTTTTATTTTTATTTTTAACAAAAAGGGTTCATGCAACGGAAAAGTTTCAAATAACGATTTTTTAGAGAAAAAAAGCGAAAATGTTATTAAATCTGGAAGTTCTCCAAAAACAGAGGCGAATAAAATGAGAAATAAAGGTTTTATTCTTGGACATTTTATAATTGGCGAAATTCGGAAGTCAAGAGCAGGAAGTTGTCATGACTACTTCAATTTAATACTGAACAAATTTAAATTCACTTTTTTATCCTGAAAATACTCTACAGTGCAATTCCACTGCAATAAATCTTTTTATAATGATGTTTTTGTTATACAGTATCACATTTTTTCTTTGTCCCGGCAGTTTTTTTGTGTGGGCCATGCTGTCAAACTTTAGTTTAGAACACTAATTTTCCTTTACGATTTGATTATAACGAATTTTTGCCTTAATTATGTTTTCATGGGCCATTTAATTTCTTTATTAATTGATACTATGTGGGCAGCTAAACAAAACTTGGGCATACAGTAATTTAAAAACTGACAAAAAATTCAAGTGCAAACCTCTTCATGCAGAAAAGTTAGCATTTAGCTCAGGAAGTATGAAACTCAAATCAAAATGTGTTTCAAGTTTTGTTAATTTCTGAATGGTTAATTTATTGAAAGAAAATAAGGTTCATAAATTTAGTGCAACGTTTCAGGGAACATACAGCTCATTGAATACCGTATTTACTTGAGTACCAAGCTCACCTTTTTTCTTAAATTTCAAAAGGAAAAAAGGGGTGTGCATCTTAAGTGGTTACAAATATTTCACAAAGTTTTAGGAAGTTATGTGTGCATTGTACTTAATTATAATGGAAAAATTTGGAACAAATGTAAAATAGAAAACTTTTTTGTACTGGAAAAGTTGAAAATTGCTCAGATTTTTATTCAATTCATGTCTAAAGTCAAATTTTTTGTTTTTATTTTCAAAATTTTGTGGTTTTAGATGCACTAAAAATTGGGGTGCGCATCTTACTTGGGGATAATTTTTTAGCAAAATTTCAAACTGAAAAACCCCTGTGCGCGCCTTACTTGAGGATACGTGGTACTTGAGTAAATATGGTAAATTGTGTTCTGACACATGTATTTTTCCTTGTCTCTGCTCATGCTCCATTAAGATCAATAATCAATATATTTTTAAAACATTCAGGAAAGGGAAGGTTTGAAATAAGAATTTTGAATTTCCTCCATTATTTCATCAAAAGAAGTTGGAAATTTAGGCAAATCTTGATGTAAAGCATCTATTACCTTTTCCCACAAATTTCAATCATGCACGCTAAAAGAACCACAAAGCTCGTTACGACGAATTCTTTCTGAGGTCCCTGGGCGTTCGTTGTAACAAGATTTTCCTGAATGCAATTTGTCATGTCCATCATGATCTTTTGAAGAGTGTCTTGAACAAAAGAATCAAGTGACATACGATGTAACCTGCAGTAAAACGCGTTTTGCATTTCGAAAATGTCGCCTAACGAGGAACAGATTAGTGCTGTTAATGGGGAGGGACTCTTTGTATGTACCTTGTCGACTTGACCCTCGGTGGTGTGACCCCCGTCGTCTGACCTCATCCGCAGAAACCGAGGGCACGGAAATGAAGAAACTGGCTTCCTCGGGAAGTAAGATTGATGAGATGACCAAGACCAGAGACGTGTCGGAGCCGCAAGGACCTTCAGCCTTTGACGAGGAAGTTGATGAAAGGTTCGATCCCAGTACTTCTTCATAAATCCCGATTACAATTCTCGTCCATGACTGTCATTCATTTTTATTTTATTCATTCATTCATTCATTCATTCATTTATTATTCTTTTTGCAGGATGAGATCGGCTGAGGAGTCGATGGGTTTCGAGGAAATCGCCAACAGCAGAGCTGCAGCTTTCATTGAGAATTTTGAAAGAAGGCAGCAGCAAGTTATCAACCAGGCTTTCGGGCAAGTTTTTTTTTTTTTTTTACTTGTTTCTTGAGAAATTTTTTTTCATTTTGTCAAGGGCAGTTTTTGATTTTTGAACCGTGTTGAGAAAGAACTTACCTTAGCATAAATTTATGGAATTTTGCAAGTGGATCAGTAAATTTATTTATAAAGTAAAGTTCAAAAATGTAGGAATAAAAAGCAGAATCAGTCTGGGACGAGGCCAGGGAACCCTTTTTTGGTTTCCCTAGTTTAATTTAGAAAATGTATTTAGATTTTTCGTCCCACAAAAGTTTGACACACAAGTATCAATTTCTGAACAACACAACACTCAAAAGAACTCTCTACAGAATTTTGTAATTTTTGCGATGTGCACAACTCAAACGTTTGATAGCAAGTGGCTTCGGGAAATTTGTTCTTTGGTGAAACTCGGGAGCAGCAGAAATTAAAACTTGTTTTTCATTGTTCTTTTTAGGTGGCTTTCCCTTGGTGAGTTCCTTCCCTTTGAGGGTTGGAACTCTTATCTGATTTTGCCGTTTTATTTAATTTATTATAATTTAATTTTTGCATTGTTCAGCACGCGGCGGTTTCCCGACAAACCAAAATAGTTGAAGGGATTTTATAAAACCATTCATGATTAGAAAAAACCGTGAAAATTTTTTTTGTGTTGCCCTCCTCCTCCTCCCCCATTTTTTCTGAAATCATCAATTCGTTCAAGTGCACCCAATATTTCTATCTGAAAAAATATAATTCATGAATGAATTTAATCCTGCGACATTTATTGCATTTATTTCTGTCTGAAAGAATCTAATTCTGCAATCCATGAATGAATTGAATTCCTCGACATTTATTGCATCCCAAGGGGTCAAAAAGTATGGTTACTTGTAAATTGTTCGTCGTGAAGCACAAAAATGAAAGACAGAAAGTGGTTGACTTGCCTTCAAAAATATGGTCCAGCTACTATTTTTCATTTCATTCGCAGAATTATTTTCTGCTTGAAAAAAAAAAAAACACACACAGACAAGCTTTAAAAGTTCTCTCGTCACATTTCAGGCATGTGGAGGAAGAAAAGGAGTCGTCAGTGACGATCACGGAATTGACTGACGATGAAGTCGCAGACCTGGAAACAGTTTCCAGCAACATTCAAACCAGGGACTTGATTGCCGAAATCCGCAGGAGCTCTTACACCAGTTTGGACGAGGATGGACCAGTTCTCAGGAGATCTGTCCGCCTGCCCAAGCCCGACAAACGACCGGATGCCATGGACATTGTGACTCTGTGGACCAACTACAAAGTCAGGGTCGAGGACATTGTGGACATGTGGAAGAGGAACGAAGTGGAGTTGAGTGAAATCATCACTTTGATCAACAGGAAGCTCATTATCGTGGAGGAGATCGAAGAACTGTCCATCTTGGAGAAACTGGTGAGTTTTTTGTTTTGTTTTGTTTTTTGTGAGCAAATGTCTTATTTTGTCATTCTTTTTTAATTTTATTCTAATATTTTTATTCTAGTTTTTTGTTATTCTAATTTTGTAGTTCAAAAGTTTGGAAAATATTCCTCCACTGCCCAAGATGCGCATTGTAGTTTCCAGTCATTAAAGTTATATTTTGAAAGACTCAGTTGGGTAAAAACCTTATTTCAAGTCCACTAAGAAATTGAATTCAATAGTGATGTTTTTGTTTCTCACAAATCACAGAATAATTTTTTTAAATATTGAAAACAAATTATACAATGGCAAAAGAATCAATTTTTGGTCAATCTAAAATGTACATCCAACTATATTGAGTGCACCTCATCTGTCGCCTCAATGTCTTGAGAGAAAATTTGGTGTGGTAATGTAGTACAGTATTTATTTCAAGCTTATTATTTATTTCATCAGGAATACTCAATATCCATGATATTAATTATTGAATTATTTGTTTTGGAAGCACTTGAAAGTATTTATTGCCTCTTTCCTACAAAATTGCAGTCTAAAATGTGCTATAAATCGAAAATCTCAATACTGTACAAAGAATTTGTCATTATAACGAATTTTTAATAAGTCCCTGGGAGTTTGTTGTAATGAGATTTTACTGTACATACTCATGTAAATGCAGTACGAGTTTGCAGTGGAACCCCAAGGTACATGGATGAAATTACTTACCAGTCCTGGACTGAATTTCAGTTTCAGGGCATCTGCTTGTCCGATAAAATTTTCCTGCAGATTTCAATGAAATCTTATTCGCTATTCTCAACTTTGGCAAAATCTTAGAAGGTCCAAAATTTTTTTTATTTAGTACTTCAAGACCCAGAAAATAACTGCGCAAAAGAACCCAGACAAAATATATCCTGGCGGAGTGAAAAAGAATATTAAAAAAAGAATATATATTCCCATACTGTCCAAAGTTGGTGGAAAAGCCCCCAAAAAGAGAGGCTCAAAATTTGGATGCTTTATAAAATCAAGTACAGTATAGTACTTTTATCAATAGATTTATTTCATCTGTATGCCAATTTCTACAAATCCAGAGAAATAATATTTTTATTTTTCTGGAATCGGCAAAATTTTCAAATCTTGAAATATTGTCCTGATGTAAGGGAATATTTTTTTTTTTACATTTTACCGGAAGTCTGCATTTCAGGGCATGCATATGCCGAGAAACCGCTTCATTGTGACGAATTACCTGCATGTACTGTTCTTCATTTCTGTACTTATTCCTTTATTTTGTGATTGACAGTTGGATGAGATATCTGGTTACGAAACCAGGAGGCAAATCAGGGCGCAAATGAGGGTCTTGCGCAAGAATTCGCCCGTTTCCACCCCAATGGCTGCCACCAAGACCTTTGAAGTGGTAAATCCTTCTCCTATTTCTCTATCATTCATCGCAATTTTTTTTTTAATAAGTGGACGTAATTGGACCTTGCTCCAATGTCAGAGAATCCGTATATGTTGGCTGAAGTTTTCCCATTGTCTTCAATGGAAACTTGCTGATTTGGCTCTTCTGTTCTTCAAAAATTGGGAATAAAGTCGCCATAAAGTTGAATAAAAAATTGTTTCGCAACTCAAATATACTGGATACAGAAAATAACTGTGCAGAAGAAAATCACACAGCGAACCTGATCTTTTGACATCAGAAGGAACTCAAGAAGCCAAGAACACAAACAAGTGTAGCTAGGTCGACTCTTCCTACAACAAAACTCGAGGGATCAGAAAAATTTCGTTGTACAGAGAATTTTTGGAAGAGAAACATTATAGCATGGCGAAAACTTCGTTACATAGAAAAAATCGTTGTATACAAGATTGTTGTAGAGAGTCCACTCGATTTACAGTATGTGTGAATATGATGGAAAAAGCTCTGAAACAGAAGCAAAAAAATTGCCTGTCTTTTCATTATAAATTAAGACAATTTATAGAGAAATTTTGTTCTTTAATTTTTCGAACATAAATAGTTGAATTCGTTCAATAAATATAAAAATTCAGTTGTATACATTTTTTAAATTCTCCTAAAAATTTTGAAAATTCACCTGTAACTCGAGACATCGTCTGCATATCGGGGTAGTTTTTTTTTTTTTTTGTCAACTGCCCTCAAGTCGAATCGTCCGCATTTTTTTGGAGTGTCTTTATGTCGAGGCCTCACTGTGCATTAATGTTCGGTTCAAATTCAATCTCCAGGAGTCCAAGACTTGCGTGGCAAAAGAACGAGCACCCGAGGAACCCGAACCAGTGGCCTTCGCGACTGAAAAGTCCGAGGTGAAGGCAGCAGAAGAAACTGCGGACTTGCACCCAACACTCACCAGGAAGGTCAGCACGAAAGCAGAAACAGAAGAGACCGACAATAAGAAAGCGAAACCGACCCAGGAAACCCAGGACCCGCAGCCCAGTCCCACCAGGAAATTCAGCGCCAAAGCAGAAACATCAGAGGAGACCACCACCACCAAGAAGAAAAATAAGACCGTTGTTGAAGAAACCCTCATCACGGATCTGCACCCAACACCTGCCAGGAAGATCAGCACCAGAGCAGAACCCGAAGAGAAAAAGAAAGAAGACAAGTTCCAGCAAAGCCCCACCAGTGCCTTTGACAAGGTCCGACCCAAGGTTGCTGAGGAAGCAGAAACCTCCAAGATTTCTGCCATCAGAAGCAGGTTTGAGGCAGGCAATGTGACCCAGAGCCAGGTCAAGAAAGAAACTAAAGAAGCTCCGAAAAAGTTGAAGCCCATGCAGAAACCTGAGGAAGTAGAATTTAAGCCTACCAAGAAACCAGAGAAGTTACATCTGGAAAGAGACAATGCGCAGAAAAAGGAAAGAGAGGCCTTGCAAAAACAAGAAAGAGAGGCCTTGGAAAAACAGGAAAGAGAGTCTTTGCAGAAGCTGGAGGAAAAGAAGGCAGAAGAGAAGGTGGAACACATCGATGAGGCCACGACTTTGCAGGAGGCTGAAGAGGTTCTAGAAATCCAGATCCTGCAGAAGTCTGAGGAGGCTGAAGTGAAGTCTGTGAAGGCCTTTGAAGAAGCTGTAGAAGTAAAGGTTGAACAGAAGCCTGAAGAGGTGATGGAGCTCCCTGAAGAGGACTTCCAACAGACTGGAAGTGAGTGTGAGTCTCCTGATGAGGATCTGGAGGAAATGGAGAGGCCAAAGGCTCCAGAACCCCCAGCTTTACTGGAAGACTTGGCTGCTGGTGAAAATGCTGAACCTGTGGTTCAGTCTGTTTCTAAACTGATTTCCAGATTTGAGGCCCCACCTTCTGCGTCTCATTCAAAGGTGAGCTATGTTCTTTTTAGGCACAAAATCCCAAGCAAAAGCAGAAGATTTTCACAGCAAAGTACATAGATGCCACATGGTACCCACCCATTCAGGTATTCAATGAATGAATTGAATGAACAGAACACTTTATTTGCGGCTTTTCAGTGTTCACAAGGCACAACCAAGACTCCCGCATCCAAACCCCCACCAGTCACAGGAAGCAGAAGTTGCATCATTCATTTGGTCAGATCTGGCAACTAAACTGTGTAGCAGAGAATAATAAATGCATAAAAACCTGCTTAATTAATGCTGTATCAGGAGAACTCCTTCCTCCCCACCCAACCCAACTCCCCCCAAAGACATTCAATCACTTCAAAGCATGAAACAAAGCACAAACCAATGACAAAAACAAAAGAGAACACACTCCACAAAATAAAACTGTACATCCGACACGTATGCATACACCCACCCATCCCCCAATATTGAAGACAAAGCAGCAGTAAAAGTTTATTTCAAGTTTATTTAAGTATTCAAACTTAATATGTTGCTGGAATAGAGTCAAATTGCAAGACACTGTAAAATCAAGTAAGAGCAGCACAAAAACACTAGAAAAGTGGCTGAAGCAGGTCAAATTTCAGGGCAGTAGGTTGAATTGCAAGTCAATCTCCCAGCAAATTTGACCATCAAATTACAAGGCAGGCAAATTGCAGGAGGCCAATCACCTGGTTTGAGACCAAGATCAATTATTCAAGGCAATACTATAGAAATAGATGTTCCTAGTTTTTTTCAAATGATTTATCAACTCCTGGATGATTGTGGCAGGTGGATTCCCATCCCACTGTGGTGCTCGCATACTTTTGCATGCAGGCACAATTCTTGGAATGAAGGTCACCAAAATGCAGCCTTGGCTGAGTTGTTTGTCAGAAAAAATCCTGGATAGGAAAAGCTATTGTTTTCTGAATCCCTCAATACTAATGCTATGGCAGGAATGTCTAAAAAAAATGCCACCCAGCAATTAATGATTTTGTTTTCAGGAAAATTCTTTTGCAGAAATTTTGCATTTTTCTGAACTTTGCCTCAGCAGATCAGGCAAGGTTTTTATTTTATTTTTCTGCTTCTTGGCACAAAATCCTGCGAATATACCCTAGCCCTGCTGCAGAAGGGTTAAATATATTTGAATCACAATTAAATACAATTCAAAGTAGAATCATACATGGAATGAACGCATATCCAATGGCAGTCAATTGAAATGTAAGTGAAAGGAAAATGAATACTGATCTGAGTCTTGTACACAATTTCTAGGAGTTCTCCTGATACAGCATTAATTAAGCAGGTTTTTATGCATTTATTATTCTCTGCTACACAGTTTAGTTGCCAGATCTGACCAAATGAATGATGCAACTTCTGCTTCCTGTGACTGGTGGGGGAAATATAAATTAAAGAAATTTAAGCATCCTGGTGTGGGTTGAAAAACTTGCAAAGGTTATCCTGTTCTCAAGGCTTACAGTACTGGGTCAAATTTTCATTCTCAACTGTCCTGATGCAATTTGAGAGTCTTTTTGTGATTCTGCAAAAGTCTTGCATGTTGTGTCAGATGGACTATTGCTGAAGCTTTTCCCAATATTTAAATCTCCATTTTTGCAGCTCATTAATTTCTTATTATTTTTCAATTCAGTTTCGACATAAATCTGAAAATCCAAAATAAAGGAATATTTCCATCAAGAGTTTAAATAACTATAATTAAGTAAACGGATGGTTTTGCGTGTGTTTTTCACTTTCAATAACTTCATAAACATCTTGGCCAATTTTCTCTCTTTTGTTCCAGAGCATTCAAATCGAATTGGAGAGGACAGAAACTCCAATCCTTCCGGAAGCTGAAGAGAACCTGCCAATAGAACGCCCTGAGAACACAGACATAATCACTTTCTGGGACATGTACGAAGTCACTGCTTCAGACATTGTCACCATGTGGGTCTACAATGAAGTGTCCCTCGAAGAAGTGGTCACGTTGATCATCAAGAAGAAGATTTGCGTCACAGAGATTTCCGACGCTGTCATCCTCGAAAAAATGGTTCGTAAAACATTTTGGGCCTTTTAAAATCACGCGAATTTCAAAATTAGATGACGCCAGGATTTTTAGCACATTTTTTTCCGCGTAACGCGACCACTTGGCCTAGAAAATTGAAAACAAGCATTTTTTGAGTCTCTGGAAAATGTTATGCTGCTTGAGGAATGCTCGGAATTTACTGGGATTCCGAGATTGCTGCGCAATATGTCGGCGGGAACGTGGGTTATAATCTGGTTCTCAGACATCTGGGTTTCTCGGATTTTTTTTTTCAGTTGGAAGTGATCGAAGACACTGATCTGCAACGTCTAGTGAAAAATCGGCTGGAAAGTTTGCAAGTCGTCAAGCCTGACGAGCAGTTGCTGGAAATGAAGCAGGAAGTCAAGGTGACCTGCTCAGACATTAAACTCTCCGAACAGGAAGAAGAAGAGGTTGTCAGTGAATGGCTGTCGCAGAATTTCACTGCTGTCGACTTGCTGTCGTTCTGGGCATCCAGGCAGATTGGGATTCAAGAAGTCCTGGTCCTGGTTGTGCACAAATTGATCAGGATTGATGAAATCACCGATATTTCACTCCTGGAGGAACTGGTGAGTCACCTGCTCTATATAGTAGCAGCCAAATATTCCAGTACTGTATATTTTTTTCAGCTTTTTCAAAAACACCTTTTCCGTCTACACTGACCAAGTGGCCAGTGACTCTTTTGCGATTGACATTACTATATTCTTGAAAGAAGAAGCGCAAAATTAACCTGTTTTGATTATAAATATGAGAAAAGGTGTAATGCAATTTCTTTTAAACTTTTGTGAATCTAAATAGCCCAAATTGTTCAAGAGATTTCAAAATTTATTTAAAAAAGAATTATTCATTTTTTCTTGAAAGTTTGGAAAAGTGTCCGTATTTCAAGATACCATATTTACTTGAGTACCACGCGCACCTTTTTTCTCAAATTTCAGAAGAAAAAAGGGGTGCACGTCATAAGAGGGTACAAATTTTTCAAGAAGTTTTAGGAAGTTATGTGTGCATTATACTTGATTATAATGGAGAAATTTCAAACAAATGTAACAAGAAAACTTTTTTGTGCTGAAAAAGTTGAAAATTTATCCAATTTTTTTTTCAATCCATGTCTGAAGTCAAATTTTTTGAATTTATTTTCAAAATTTTGTGGTTTTAGATTCACTAAAAATTGGGTTGCGTGTCTTACTTGGGTATACAATTTTAGCCAAATTTCCAACTGAAAAACCGCTGAGCGTGCCTTACTCAAAGGCATGTGGTATTCAAGTAAATGCGGTATTATCCGTTTTTCGGGGTCTTCTGCATTCCGTTTTAGTGTCAATTGAATTCAAAATTCAATTCACACCAGAACAGCTCCTGAATGCATTCAACTGGCTTCAAATTCAGTAGTGTACCTTTTTATCGATTCCCTCTGATTACAATACCGTTTGTACAGTACTCAAGTACCAAATGTATCATCATAGAGTACCTTAATTCTGAAAAATTAAGAAATTTTTCAGAATTAACAAATTATTCATGTCCAGATTATCAATGCCCCGAATTTCCGATCCAACGGTTTGAGTCACTGGACTCATCAGCTGGTCCAATCAAGTGCAGTATGTTGTACAGTATTTTATTTTTTAAAACAGTAACTGTTTTTAATTTTTTAAATTTTCATTGAAAGCTGTGGGCGGTGGAAAACGTATTCTTGTCGAGGTTGAATGGAAGGTTGCGACGTACTGTATATTACTGTGTATAACTTTTCATGCTGTGTTAAAATAACATTTTTATAATCCTGAAGAAGGCATCTCGTAATTATTCCGGATAATCGAGGTTTCACTGTTTTTGTGGAGGAATACAAACCCCTCGTCCTTTTCTTGTAGCTTTCTTAAAACTGTTGCAGCTGAAAAGGCCCTGGTAAAAGATGAAATCCCAGGATCAGATCCGAATCAAATTGGGTCGGGTCTGCTTTCGAAAAAAATGGGACTTACTTTCAAAATTTAATTTCCTCATCCCGGAAGCGTTCAAAAACACCTCATAATTCAAACTTCCCGATTACGATTTCAACGCTTCTTATTTGGCTTGAAACCCGACGGGTTGCGGAAGTGCTTGGCACCATGTCCCACTGATATTTCTCCGGAATTACCGAAAATTAATTGGAAGCGGATCTTAAAGTCCAAATGGTGCAACACGACAAGAAGACACGTGGGCAGAGATTTAGGACCTGGGGTTTGCCCCATTTTAGGTGTCGAAGGGGGAAGAAAAAGGTGTCGACACCTCCTCAGTCAGTCCGTGACTCGGATCTGAGTCACACGTGAAAAATAGATTTGTCGTGCCATTTCCCCCAAAAGAACAATTTTTTTTTTGTGTATATATTTTCGGGATCCGTAACGAAATAAATCCCGATTTTCCAGTTGGAAGTGGTGAAGAACTACGATTTGAGGAGCAGATTGCGATCGCAGGTGAGGAACACCAAGAAGAACTTGAGCACCGAGAAGGGCAAAAAGAAACCGGAAGCGAAACCGGAAATGGACAAGAAAACCAAAAGGAAGCCTAAAGCTTCGAAACCTGCGGCGAAACCCGAAGAAGCGAAACTTCCCGAGGAAAATGAAAAACCTGCGGAAAAACCTGAACCTGCGAAGCCTGAGCCTTCGAAAATTGACAAGTGAGCAAAAAATAAAACTAAATAAACGCGTTTATTTTATTTTTTGCGTGAAAAATCTCCGGGAAACTCTGAGAAGGAGTTGGAACGAAGCAGTTCTTCTTCTGCCTCCGATGCTGAAAGACTATTTTTTTTCCTTTTGTGTTACCTGCCTTCAGACAAAAGCTTCGTGAATCACACCATGCTTATTGTGAAAGAACAAAAAAATGTTCGACTCGATATTGTGATACAGTAGTATCCATTTCATCTTTACGATCCACGGTTTGCATGAAAATTTGCGAAACGAACTACGGAGCTTCAATACCGAGAATAACTGGGTGGAAAATTTTTGCCAGTGCTTCAGCTTCTTCGACGATAATTATGTAGTGATTGTGTGTACATAGCCGTGATCGATGTGATTGTGTGGCAAATTGTTGATATTGAAACTGGTGAGGAAACTATAATTTTCCTCGCGTAATTCATATTACTGCAGTCTATTTTAATCACTTACTGTATGGGTAATTGGTGGTGAAACTTCGACTCGATTTCGTGACTGAGCGATAAACATCCGAAGTTTACCTGGACACGGATTAGGATGATCTCAAGTTTCATGAGAAGTTGCGAGTGCAGAATACTGTACAGTTCTGTAGTTGTAAACTGTCTCATTGAGGTTATTCTTGTTATCCAAATTTTTTTAAAGAATAACCATTTCTAAATTTTATGAAGCTCTTTACCATACTTTCCTATACACAGTACATTTGTGTTTTGTGTAGTTGATTAAATTTCCACGCAGGTGAAATATTGTGAAAAAAAAATTGCTTTTATACCTAATGGAAAAACCCCCGAGACATTTCTTAAGCAAGATAGGTTTTGAACCTTGTCGTGGTTCAAATTGGCGATGTTCTAGAACCTTTGAGCTTCATATCTGAAGTCCAACAGTGATTATATTTGTGACCTCTGTTCATAATCAACCATTGTAAAGTAAGTCCCCGTAAAGCAAAAGTGATCGGTTCCCCAATTATTTTTGTTGTTGTCTTGCTGTATTTTTCTGATGCTAAACGCAATTTTCCTCAATTTTTAATGAAAAAAAATATGCACGGTAATCTGTCCCGAGCAGTCATAATTGCTGAAAAATTTCATTGCAGACTTGACTACTCCAGAATGAATTCGTTATTTTAGTGCAGTTCAGCGAATAACTGAAGTACAGTAACACTGGCAATTTGAAGGTCAGCTTTCTGAGGTTTAGTAATTTTGCAGCTTTTTTCTTTTCTTATAAGGAATGTATGTCTTCACATGTAGAAAAATCACGCTGAAATCTAGAAATTATAGGAATTTTTTCATTTTTAAAACAGTAGTATGCGAATTATTTTTCATTTGATTCAAATTCTTCCTAACTTAGCCGGTTAACTTAACTTATTATTTCCAATTCAATTCAAGCAACTAAAAAACAGGAGTTGTTAGCATCTGCAAGCAGTATTTTCATGCAAAAATATCAATGTGCAAAACACTCTGACCCTATGCTCTGTTCAATGTTCAATTAATCCGTTTTATCATTGTGGGGTCACCTTAGCTAAATTCAATTTGGGTAGAATTGTGTCTAAGTTAGCTGAATTCAAAATGAAGTTAGTCATTTTGAGTGAGCTTGGCTTGAGGTTCATTTTGGTCAGGTTAGTTAAAAATCAAGTTTGTTACAGCTAGCCTATTTTACAATTAAGGTAAAACTATTTTGATTTATTAAAGGTAGATTTGGCTCAAGTTTATTGGTTTCGAATAAATTTTTTTTGAGCAATAAGGTTGGTCGAAATTTAAGCTTGATTCTGATTTGAGCCATCTCAGGTTTGTTTTGACTGTTGCAGCATTATCGGTGCCACAAAAATGCCCAGTATATCTTTTGGGAAACATGTGCCATTGTCTAATATACTTCAATGTGCCCTCATATAAAGCAGTATGTGCATATTCACTTGAATAATGTGTCTGTTCAACCTTCAGACAGTAGCAGACTCCTTTCCAACCAACAGCAAAGTCAGGATTTTTTGCACACAGTTTGACCTAAGGTCACCAAAATGTGCATGGGTTGAGCAGGCCTAACTAAGAAAATCTGGCAGCTGTAAATCCTTTTGTTTTCAGAAATCTTCAATGCTGTCTTCTATTCTAGGAAGGCAAGAAAAAATGCCACCCAGTAAGGAATTTTTTTCACCCAAAGTTTTTTGCTTGCAGAGGAAAAAAAAAACCTTTTTCTCAACTTGGGCCTTGGTTCTCAGTTGAGGTTTTTTCAAGTGCTCTTGGGCGCAACATTTTGCCAAAATATCCCCATACACTTTGCCACAGAAGGGTTAAATGCAGTACTGTGTGGCATTTGAAATTGCAGGTACTTGGACACTGTGAAGAGCGCGGGACTGGAGGCGCTGACCTCAGTCCTGAGCACGATTGAGAAGGAGCCAGCACCAGTGCCAGCACCAGCACCAGCACCAACACCAGCACCAGCTGCCGAAGTCAGCAAGCCCAAGCCCGAGGCCAAAAGCAAGGCCAAGACCCGGAAACCCGCCACGACTGTGTCTCCCTCCAAGCCCGTGGTGGTGGTGGTGGTGGACAAGAAGCCGGTGAGCAAGTCCAAGTCTTCGTCCCTGGGCACCACTAAGCCCAAGACACCGGCCAAGAAGGCCGTGTCTTGTTCGGGGCGCATGTACAGTCCGAGCCGGACGGAGGAGCGAGCAGCCCTGCGACCCTGCAGCTGTCGCGGCCACGATGTGGACAAGGCCGACGGGTCCGGGTCCGACGCTTCAGTTGCTGGCCGCAGGAACAGTGCGGGCAAGGTCGTCTGCGAGAGGCACCCGCACGCGCACATCACCAACAGTAAGGGTCAGTTTTGCACCCCATCCTCTCCCAGTAGAGTACGTGGTACAGCATACTGTACTACGTTTTTACTGTACTGTATTTTATACCAGTGTTCCCCAACCTTTTTGGGCCGTGGGACTGGCATTCTTCCGTAATTTATGCAGACAGGCAGATTTTCATTATTTTTTTTTTGCAGAGTGACAAAGCTTCAGAAAAATTCTTGCAGACCAGCAGGAATTTTTTAAGTACCTGTCATAAAGTCCTCCAAACAAGACTTTTATTGCAAAAGTTGAGGCAAGAACAAGTGAAGTAGCTATAGTGGAATGTCCTCAATAAATTATCAAGCTGGGCCTCAAGCAAGGTTTCTCAGAGTGAAAACTTGAAATTTATTACAGCAGGGAAAACTTTCCTGTTATCTCAGTACCTCCTTTTCTGTTATCTCTGTACCTTCCCTCTGACCAATTTAACCTGACCTAACCTAACTTCACCTAACTGCCTCCCAAAATCAGTTTCTGCTTTCTTTGGGTTTCTGCTGCAACTGATTTTGGGAAGCGGTTAGGTAAAGTTAGGTTTGGTCAGGTTATGTTAATTAAAAGATATTTGTAACTAACATAACCTGACCTAACCTAACTTTACCTAACCGCCTCCCAAAATCAGTTTCAGCAGAATGCAGAAAAATAAAATTCACAGTTTCTGGTAGGTCATTGTGATTATGAACTTGTCCTTAAGATTTGTCTGGATGGTAGTGCAGTCTAGGAATGAGGTACTGAGATAACATGAAAGTACCAAAATTTGTCTGAAGTACGTGTTATCATAAAAGAGCCCACTTCTATTTTTCAACGGATAATTACTACTGCCATTGGCTTTCCAAAATTTCAAATAAAGATAACAGACTTCATAACTACCTTTGATAAATTTACCATGCTGACAATAATTTCCTGCATACCGGCGAAAAAGTTCTGCTGTCTGGCACTGGTCTGCTGACCAAGGGTTGCATCATCAGAACAGAATTTTTTTGAAACCAGCAATAATTGGAAGAATGTATACATTTCAACGGTGACAGCCCAAAGAGTTTCCGAATTTCGGAAGAAAATAACTTTTACACTGGATCCATGCTTTAAAAAATGCCCATCAACATTTAGCATTTCGAAAATTTGAAGGGTAGGAAGATGATTCACAAAACGGAATTTTTGGCTCAAAAATGGTTAAAATTTATCAAGTTTCCAACTAAAACTCTGTAATGTTTCCAATCATTGAGGGAAGTGAGATTAGAAAATTCCTTTCCTCGTCGTAAAAATTTGTGAAATTCAAAAGGCTCCGGCACAAAATCAGGATCATGTCATTTTCATACTAACGAATTTTCAAAAATCGAAATTTTAGGATGAAAAATATGAAACATTTTCAGTGGATAATCATGCTGTTATGGTGGGTGTCCGGAACAAATTCAATAATGTTCTGTTCTATGCACCTGATGAGAAATTTAAGTTTCATTTTTTTTAAATCCTCCCAACAAAATGCATCCTGGAATGCATTACTGTAGTTTTGTTATGCAGGGACCCACTTTCATATAATTTCGCTCAAGCGGGTTTTCTTTCCTGAACCTTGGGTAACCCAAAGTTGACAAAATGGAGAAGAAACTGGTCATAATGTATTTTTCTTCTATCCTGCACTTTCAGAGGCCAAAAAATCTCCTGGAAAGTCCAATGAAAACGTGGAGAACATCGAGCCTGCGACTGAAATCTCTTCCTCCAAAGTGGTGAGGCACTTTCACGTCTGAAATAATTCTTGGAATTTCTAATTTTTAAAATGTATTTGTTTCAGGAGAGAGTTTCCAGGAGAACCGAGCGGATTAGCACTGTCAAGCAAGAAATCGTTCCTAGATACATGCAACCCCAGAAGCGGGACTCGAAACCGACTACCCCCACGTCTCCGTCGACGGTGTCACCCATGGCCAAGTTGGCGAAACCAGTCGTCAAGAAACCCGTGGTACCAAAAGCTAGCCCTGTGGCAAAGACACCAGTTGTTAAGGTGACCAAGAAGAAAACCGCTAGCCCCGAGAAAAAGCGGGCTACTCCTTCCCCGACGCAAACGACACCTGTGGTTGCTGCTCCGAAGCTCAAGACCTTCGTAGTTCCTGGTGACCCAGAGGAGTCGCCCATTGTAGCCAGCTTCGTCAGGAGGGAATTCGCGGCTGATGACATCGTTGTCTTGTTTTCCATGAAGCAGATAACTATTGAAGAGATCATCACCTTAGTCTTGTACAGGATTGTGGCCATTGAGGAGATCTTTGACCTGGTGATCCTCGAGGAAATGGTGAGAAAAATGTCAGGCTTACGTGTCAACGAAATTTGGAAAGGTGCAAACTGCTGTAGCGTATTTTCCTCGAGAAGATAAATGTTTACTCGGCAGCTGATTATATTAAATTAATCTCAGAGCTCAGCGACACCTTAGTGAGGATATGCAGACGATTAACCAACCTATCAGAGTTATTAATAAAGGAGCAAATTTTTGGAAGTCTATATATTGAAGCTTTGAACTTGAAAAACATAAGTTTCCAATCTGCTTGATGATAGTTGAATTGGGGATGACTCTTCATTTCAGACATTTAGCTCTTTCACGGATGAAAGGGCAACGAGTAAAAAAAAAAAACTTGCGATATAGAACAGCAAAGAAAAATTGCACAAGTCAGCCATACAAGTTTTGCAACACAAAAACAAAGTGATGTGTTCACTATTCATCCAATTGGCACCAAAACAAGTGAATCCGTCGAGAACGGAAGTAAAACGTTGCAGATATTCCCAAAGTTAAATTATACAATCTTCACGATATTTCATGTAAAGTTTGGCATAAAGATTGATGCAGCTTCAGGTTTTCAGGGAAGTAAATTTTTATTCTGTGATTAGACTTGCGAAGAAACTCACGTCACAAGATTTTATCTCGCTAATGCAAAAGGTAGGACAACACTAACTGCAGAATGAAACTTGAAATATGTTTTCTTTGATTTACTTTTGCAACATTATTGCTCAAATGCAGCGATTTCACTTTCTTCCATTTGGTTACCACCGAACCTCTCAAGAATTAACCCTTCAATGTATAAGATTGTATCACAAATGAGTCCATATTCCATTCATCAAATGCTGTTAAGCATGGGAATTCTAGTGTACAATGTCAAAAATTAGGAGACAGTCAATTTGGCTTATTTTCACGTTTGTTTGAGATAACACCTTAGAAAATTAAGCTTCTGCACATTTTGGCATCTTTCCAACTCAAATGATCTTTGGAATTATTAATGAACATGATGATCATTTGACAACAAAATTTAAATGAAGTGGAATAAGCTTTAATTTGACGTTTCAAATGCAAGTACAATATACTGTATTGGTTCAAATTTTCAGGAGATGCTCTACTGGTTCACAAATCGATGTATGCATTCTGTACAAAAGTAAACTAAACTCCTTTTACTGAATTTTACTCCTGGTGTATCATTCTATTTTATTAATCTGATGGAGGCGCATAAAAATGTTTGCCAATGTCCGGGGCCTTTGTTTCCAACAGTTCTGGGTCAAAGTTTCTTTTTGTGAACAGGTCGGAGGCTTTGAACAATTACTGCATTCCCAATTATTATATTTTTACTAGCTCAAGTTCGATTGGGAAGCCGACATCAGGAAGTCCATTGTGTCCCAAGCAGACTTCGTGAAGAATCAGACTCCTTTGAAAGAAGTTCCCGAGGAAGAAGAAATCAAACCCGAACCGGAAGCGTGAGTATAAACAAAAACAAAATTCCTTTTCCCCCCTCGCGGAATTCCTCGTTTTTATTTTTTTTTGTTTTTTGTTGCTCGCATTCCGACTCAATCCGCGAACACTTTCGTATAGCGAGAAGCCATCGTCGAAGCCGGAAATGGACGTGAGCGTGCCAATTGCCGTGAGATCGGCGAAGACGTTTTTCGAGAAAACCGCCGAGGAATCCCAGAGGACTGTGACGTCGGTGGAGAAGCACGGGCCCGTGCAAACTTCTGCCAGGAAGCCCGTGTCTCAAAAGGCGAGTTTGTTCCAGAAGCTCATCAACGAGCCCCTGGACTCGAAGGCACCTGCAAACGCCCACTTGCCGGAAGTGGAGCAGCCTCAGCAGCAGCAGCAACAGCAGCAGCCTGCCCTTGTTGTTGTTGTCGAAGCCGCGAAGCCGGTTATTGAGCCAGTTATTGAGCAGGTTATTGAGGCTGTGGTGCCTGAAACAGTTCCCGAGGTCATCCGTGAGTACTTCTTTTTATTTTTTATTTTATTCTTTTGCATGTCCTCGATTTCTCCTCTGCATCTCCGTCTTTTACCGTGTACTTGTATTCCTTCTTCGAGTCGGGCACAATCGCTGCTGATGCTCATCCATGATGATGATGATGATGGAGAGGAGAGGGATATAGAAACGCGGGGGGATCGGAAAATAACGATGACGATCTCGCCTGGAAACCTTTCATTTTGCAACCCCTAGAAAATAATTTAAAATTTTGCTGGTTTTATTTTATACTGTCATCACAAGTGAGTAATTTTTATGAACTTGTACAAATAAGAAAAAGGGGGAAAGATATTGGATCATCACAAGGACAATTTTGCCTTCTATGAATAAATGAATGAACAGAACACTTTATTTGCAGCTTTTCAGCATTCACAAGGTTCAATCAAGATTTCCAAAACCAAACCCCGGTCCAACCCGGGAGTTTGTTAAGCGGCTGAAATATTAATTTCATTTGTATTATTGCAATTGACTACATTATATTATGTTACACTCACAATCCTGAGTTCTTCCCTACTTGAACAATGTTGAAGATAAGAGGCAGATGGTTAATACTTGTAAATCTTTCTTAAGCTTGTTTCTATCAGTATGAAATGCTGGACATAAGAAGAGAAGGTGCTCTGGTGATGCACAAACTGATGTATTTATGCTGCAGGAGTTACACCACTTAGAGTATCTTAGACACTTTTGAAAATGGGATGAATTTTTTACTAAAGTGCCATGAATTTTTCAAAATAGCTACAGTATCATATATTAAGGGGATGTTAGATGACGCAAATATTAATGGTTTAGTATTGCCACAAGCAAGATCAGCTAGTAATTTACTTGAGTCTACCACATCACAATTATCATGACAAAAAGCAGTCAAAAAATGAATAATTCTTGAACTTGCACAAATCAATAAGCGGTTTTCCTTGGTTTTATTTTTTTATGTGTGCAACTTTTCATGGAGATATGGGCCCCGACATGCCAACAATTCAATGTAGGGACACTTGAAACTATAAAAAAAGCCTCCATATCCTGTCAATGTCTCAAGATATGGACAGTTTTCCAGCATTTATAGAAAAATTGGAAATTATACTTTTTGTTGTAAATTAGGTCCAACAGAACCTCAATTTCACTTGGTATGTACACAGCGAAATCACAGCTGCATTACTGTTTTGTGTTTGGAAAGCTTTTCAAATTTTCCAAAAATCGGTTTGAAGTGTTCATTATTTCCAGAGAAAATTATTATTATCATTATTATTATTATTATTATTATCATTATTTCCAGCACAGGATTCTGATTTTGGTGGTAGGTTAAGTATTTTAATTTTTATGAGATGCCAGCGAAATTGGCAGATTCGTGAAAAGGAAGAATGGCGCATTTATGTCAGAATGTGTGCAAAGAAATCTGCACTAATTTGTTTTCAGTAGCGTAAATTTGGAGAAACGTGCTTTTTTCGTGTATTTTTTTAATTATGAGCCCTTAATTTTCGTACGGATTGAATTCGTCTACATTGATTACCTTGCTCAATTTTTTTCAACTAGTAATTCGAAAATGATTTTTAGTAGTGTTCTATTCGCTGAATAGTATTTGCAGCTAGCTATGAAAAGGTTGTGTGACTTTTTCACAGCCTTGTTTTCCATCATTCGAGCCAGCATTTACAGGCTTGTCAGCCCATGACAATATTTGTCCGGACTTGTTCACACGTTCAGGCAGACAAATTTGTTTCAGATTAGAAGCAGAAAAAATAATCGAAAAATTCTTCAGCTGTGTTTAGAAGGTGTCTTTAAAAATATCTACTCCATGTGATTTTGTTTTACCTTCTTTTGTCTATTACACATCGCTTCGAGTATATTTCTTCGGTAGGAATCGTTCGTTTCTCGGAAGAATCTGAATTTTTCTTCCCCTAAATTTTTTCGTGAGTAATCGCTTCTTTTTTCTGTGTGTGAGATCTTTTGATGTCGTCCCTTTTTCGGGTAATGGTGTTTCGAAGGTTTCCTTTTTCCTAGAAATCGAAAAAATCTCGGTTTTAAAAATGTGGAGAAATGAGGCCGAACATCGGTTATTTGCAGAAATATCCCGCGACTTTTTCCAGATTCCGAGGAACGAGTTGGCGCTGTCCTCGTTTCCAATGGACTTCGTCTACAGTCAGTCAATATTATTTGGGTTCGCTTTTGGCGAATGTTTTGCGAGGCGAAAAGTTGAAAAAAATGGAAAAAGAAGCGGTTCACACGTGCCTGAAAAAAAAAAACACCGGGATTTTGCTTCTGTTTTTAACCCGGTTCCCGACGCTGCGAATTCCTTTTTTTTCTGGTGTTGACAGCGTCGACTGTCGACACCCAGAGTGGAACATGCTCAACACTCGGTTCCTCCTGTTCCGTCGAATGCAGAACTTCTCTGAGAAGTACTGCAGAAGTACTGTACCCGTGATCAGGAAAAAAAACTTGGATTGAGCATTCGAACAAAGAGTACTACAGGGGTTCAAAAAGTGAATGTCTTAAATACCTTTGCATGAAGCCGAAGTTTGAGAATTTATTTCACGCATCGTCAGTTTAAATTGTCGAGAGACATGCGTGAATGACTGCTTTGGGAAGAACAAGGAATTTAGTGTACTGTGTATGCAAATTTTTCGTAGAATATAACTTAAAATTATCTGAAAATGTTGGTTCAATGTATGCAGAAGTGTCCCAGTGGTGTCACAGAATGTGTTACAGGTGCTGTACCATGCAAATGTCGGATTGAGACATTTTCTGCCTGTCAAAGGTGCTCCTGAAATTGAAGAAATTTATCTCTTTTTTTCGTTGTTCGGGCTGTAGTTCAAAGAAATGTTGTCAACCTTCAATTTTTGTCACTCTGTCAAAGTGCCACAGATTTACCCAGAACAAATATCCTTCCATTATATTTTTAAAGGGAAAGCCAATTTATTGCCGAGTCATTTTGTTCCGCAAAAATTCCTTGTTCTGGATGAAAAACCTAAGAAATTATAGTCTTCTTCTAGGGTATGATTGGGTGAATACTCATGATAGCATGCCCATGCTCACATAAAACACAGAATAGTTTCAAAATTTTTATTTCTGAATTTACATTGTTGAAAATATTGTTGCTTTTGCATGACGCCTTCCTTGATTGAAAATCGTATACATATATGAAGTAATAAGCTCTCTTGAAAACAGTAATGATTCCCGCATGGAGGCACTTTATATAAAGCTCAAACTGAAAATATTGAAAGAAGCTTTTAGAAATAGCTTTGCTCTTTTAATTGATGCCAAGTGTAAAAATTGAATGTATTCTGTCTTATTGAATATTATGAAATGCAGTTCAAAAACATTACATTTTAATGTATTCTTTCATGTGGCTTTCTCTCTTACAAAGCAGACACAGTGACTTGACCATTCTTTAAAAAAAATTATTTTACCCACTGTATCAACCCTTAAGTGAACCTCCATCTCCTAAAATACCCTTGGTTTAGTGCTTAGTGCCATGACACATGATGACATTAAATTAAGGTTTGACTCAAATTTCTTATGATTTTAAAGAGTGTAAAGAAATGCAACGATTGCATTTTTTCCCAGAAAATGGGACAGAGTCACTGACAAAATCACAGTAACACAAATTATTACTACAGTACATCATGAACAATTGTCATTGACCACTTTTCTGATCGTTTTCCTGAAATTTGATCTGAAACTTAGGCCTTTCCACTGATGAAAAAAAAAAATTATAGCCGTCACGTGAAATTCCTATTTTTTATTACTTCTATAAGATTTACTTTTACTTCGCCATCGCTTTTCCGCCAAAATTCATTACTCCAAAACATTCTAATTGTCGAATTTATCTTCCAAGATACTGTACATCTTTATCTTAAGCACCGGCTTATTTTGAAGGGAACAATAATTCAAAGAAGAGCTGTTCTTGTTCTGGAAACTGTAACCAGTTTTCTAATTTTTTTCAGCGCTCTTTGATTTACTTGAGATTTAATTATATGGACCTGAAGCTTCAAAATAGGTCCATTTCCGGAATCCTGCCCAGGAAAGTTCACGATCCAGTGAACTTGAACCCTTCTGCAGCACCCTTGACCTTATTTCCCGCTGTAGGCTTTTTCCCACCCACTCATTTTATTGTTTTGGGGAAGAACTGTGGGAATTATATGATTTTACCGCGAGACTTACTTGTGTATAAGTTTTTATACTCCTCTGCTGGTGACATTCGACTCTAATCGGAAATCGATTTCAGTTTTCGTGGATTTAATTTAATGACTTTGTTGGAATTCGCGGTTTTTTTTTAGTGGACGATGCAGAACAGCCATCTTTGGAGAGGCGGAACAGTAAACGACTTCCGGAGGATATTTGGCCACCCAAGAAGAGAGGAAGTGTTGTGAAGGACGAGATTGTTTTGCCGGGCAGGAGAGGGTCTAGGCAGTTGGCAACCCCTGAGAAACAAGTATGCACAGGACGTTTCCTTGTTTCAGACTTCTTTTTTTTTTTTTGGGCAATGAATAACATTTTGCCTTTTTGCAGGAGACTGAGATGGAAATGGTTGCTGTGGTGCCTGCTGGTCCTTCAGTGGTTACAGGGACTTCAGTAGTGACTGAATGGACTCTAGGAAAACTGAATGTCCAGGCAGTTGTAGAATTGTTGCTGACTGGCTCTGTGACTGTCACAGAGCTCAGGAACGTCTCTCTCTTGGAGGAACTCAAATCTGTAAGTTTAGCCGATCATTTTTGTTTTTTGCCAAGCTATAAATTCAAATTGACTTCATTAGTGACTCCCAATTTTTTTGGGCTTGTGGACTGGAAAATTTCATTAAAATCCTTTGCGGACCGGCATATTTTCATAAAATTTACCGCAGACCGGTAAAGTTCTGTACAATTTTTGATGACCAGCAGAAAATTTTAAAATACCTGCCATACAGTTTTCAGAACAATAAACTTGTATTGCAAAAGTAAAGTTGAGAACCTGTGAAGCAAATTTAAAGTGAAGATGTCTTTTTTTTTAATAGGATGCTGGAGTTGAAGAAAGGTTCCTAAGGTTGAAAACTTGAAGTAACATATTTTAGCAGTCGAAAATATCTCTGAATTGCTACTGTATTAGGAGAAAAACCAACAATTCAATTTTTATCAGATAATTTCAAATGCCATTCTCTCAAAAATTTTGGAAAGAAAGTTGCTATAAAGAAAATGTTTGTCTTTTCTGGAGGAATTCAAATTTTAGGTTTGGGCATTTTGAAAATCTGTAAATTCAAATGAGCCACAGCATTTCATGCCTAAAGCATACTTCTGCTGATTTTTTTTTCAAGTACTGTATGTTTAAATTTTCACTACTGTTTCTGGTTTGGTAGAATACAGTAAAATATTGTGACAAAAAAGATTTTGGGGATCAGAAAAACTTTTTCCTAGCTAAAGAACGTGTTCTTCTCCCAGAGCAATTCCAATCTGTAAGTTTGAGCATTTTTAAAAATAAGCTTGAAATTAACTACAGCATATTGTGTCATTCTTGAGTTTCCATCAAGCAAATGGGAATTTGCAACCAATTATTTCTCATTTGGTGGAATGCTGCAGAATCTTGTAAAAAAAAAAGCTATTGGTATCAGAAGAAAACTTTGTCATACCAAAAATTGGTCATGAAGACAATTCAGATAGCACTGTAGCTATTGCTAAGAGACCTCGGAAAAAAATGCTACTGACCAATAATTATTTACAACGACGAGATTTGTTTTTAATGATGTCCTCCTCTCTTTTTTTGCGGGTTTCAGGGATTGCCAATTGAGGAATCTGAGTTGAGATTGGAGATCCGCTCTTTGATCAGAGAGCTTCAGAGGAAGCAGGAAACGCGAGAGAAACCTGGTGAGTATGAAGTATTTTATTTATTTTTTTCCTTCGCCTAACTCTTATGTACCCTGGGAAATGTAGTGATGTTGCAAATTCTAAATTTATTTCCACCTTTCTCATTTAGTTGAACCTCGACACATTGAGGCCGTTGCTATCAGCAGTGTTTCGACGCAGGCAGAAAAGCGGAAGGAGTCTGTTGGGTGAGTTTATGGGATTATTGTACTTTACTTGTACCATATTTTATCGAGTACCATGCACCTTTGAATCAGATACATGCCCCACAATTTTTAAAGGTACAATTTGAAGAAAAATGTATCCCTGAATAATATAGGGACACCCCACTTCCAGAATAAACTACAGAGAAAATGGATTATAGGCCGATACTAAACCTGAATTAAATTGCTCTTTAATTCTACTTTTATATTATCAGTTGCCGGATTCCAGCTGCTTCAATTTTTTTGATATGAGTTCATCCCTGAAAAAGTTGATGACGATTCAAAATTTCCCCCAAGTTACTGACACGTACATTCCTCGAAAAATTGAAATTTGTTTGGTCTGTCACGCGCACAGCTCGACTTTTTTGTTTTTAATTTTGAGAAAACCCTTCGTATTTGATTAAATAAGGTGTTGCAGTTTATACTTTCGATTTCTATTGATCATTAATTTTTTTAAATCAAGAAATCCCCGATGTGATCCGTTCGTGCATTTTATCTGATGCTTCATTTTTTTTTAACGTTGAAACGTTCCGAGCTCCGTGGGGATGTGCAGGGATACGCAGGCGACCCATGTGATGTTATTTCTTCCACTGGAAGTAGATGTCGCTCGTGTCACCGCGTAAATGAAACCAAGAGCTTGGTTTAGCTGCTGAAGCATGTTCAAAACTTTCTTGTAACTCGAGCCTGACAAAATGTTTGCGGTCAGCACCCACGAAGCACTTTAAAAATGTCTTTAATCAAGGGATTGATATAATTGCTGCTAGCATTTTGAATCCTGATGGTTTTTCTTTTTTTATTATTAATCATCAGGAAACTCGGTGAGAACAGGCTGACCAGGCCGAGGAGCAATGAGAACCTGAACAAGGTGCACTTGAGGGTGATGGAGGCCCAGCAGGCCAACAGGTCCAGCAGCTTCCGGACAGCTGATGGCAGGGATTCTGCGCACATCCGGCGCTATGATGACGTGCCATCTGGCAGCAAAGTCCTCATGCTCACCAGACGTTTTGAAAGTGAGTCATCAAAGGCCTAGTAGAGTTTTCACAAGACGAGGGTTGTCCCACTTGGGCGCGACCTTGGTTAGTTCTAGTGTAGTTGTGGGTGTGTTTTTGTTGTTTTGACCATTATCTAAAACGTGGAGAAGATGATGGTTGAAGCAACAAAATACTGTAAATTTTTAGCTGACTTGGCAATTTTTAGCACCCTGTGTTATGGGTGGATGCTTCTTGCCAATTGATTGAAAATTGATTAAGTAATTCAGAAATAATCTTTGAGGAGAATTCATATAAAGCTAGCAAGAGTATGTCTTTATTGGTACTTTCCTGTTATCTCAGTACAGTACCTCATTCCTAGACTGCACTACCATCCAGACAAATCTTTAGGATGAGTTCATAATCACAGCAACCTACCAGAAACTGTGAATTTTATTTTTCCGCATTCTGATGAAACTGATTTTTTGATGCAGTTAGGTGAAGTTAGGTTAGGTCAGGTTATGTTAGTTACATACATCTTTTAATTTACATAACCTGACCTAACCTAACCTAACTACCTAACTGCCTCCCAAAATCAGTTTCAGCAGAAACCCAAAGAAAGCAGAGACTGATTTTGGGAGGCGGTTAGGTGAAGTTAGGTTAGGCCAGGCTAAATTGGTCAGAGGGAAGGTACAGAGATAACAGGAAAGTAGGTACTGAGATAACAGGAAAATACCTCTTTATCAAGTCAACCCCAAGTCTTCTGAAAATTCACTTTTCTGGTGTGGAATGCTGAGCTTATGAAAGAAGGTGTTCTGGTGATGCATTAACCAGTCGTTATGTACACTGCAGTGATTACAATACTTGGACAATCTTGAGAATTTAACAACATTTTTATTGAAATCAGACTTTGTTTTAAAAATATTATGAGTCATTCCAAATTTTCTATTGATGAGTTTGAAATTGTTGATTCTCTTTCTTGTGTTAGGAACAGATTGGAAATATATTGAAATCTATGAATTTGAGATTCTTTTTTAAATGAATTTAAACAATCAGCTGGGCTGTGGCCGGGGTGCTTTACACCCTAGTGTAAGGTTGGTATATTTAGGATGGAACTTGAGGTTTTGACAAACAGCAGATTGACAAGTAGCAGTCTTTTGCATGAGACAATCCAGGAACAACTGATGATGGAACATACGTTCAATTTAGTATCTAAACTCTTTCATTTTGCAAAAATTTGTCCCTGAACAGATTTATCAATTATTGCAGGATTTCCCCAAAAACTCCAGATCTTGTGGAAACTCAAGGTCAAACTTGGTCTCATGAGATTTCAGACTCTTTTGGGTATTAACGCCTTTTAGTGCGTAGTACTAATCTGTCTGGAATTCCACTGCCCCCAATTCTTAATTTCCAACATCTTGTGCGGATTTGCAGGTGGTGAAATCACCTCAGCTGCGCCAAAGGTCTCCAAGCCTCAGCTGAACTTCGCCATCAAGTCCACCACGATTGCGCAGAACTTCGAGAAAGCAGAACCCTCTCAGGTCGTTCGCCAAGTGTCCGTGAAAAAGGCCGAGGAGCCTGCAGTTCCTCCGTCGCCGGAAGTGAAGCCCGTTGAGGAGCGACCCTCGGCCAAACGGAAGTTGAGTCGAGAGGCCAAGCCCGTCGACCGGAAACTGAGCCAGGAAGTGAAGCCCAAGTCGGAGCGGAAGTCGAGTCTCGGCCGCGCGAGAGCAGAGCGGAAAGTCAGTGAGGACAATAATAACAAGTCCTCCGTGATGGTGGACCATCCCAAGACCCATCATGCCGAGGAAGCGGTGAAACCAAGGGTGGAGAGGACCCTGAGTTCGGAAGTGAAGCCCAATAAGTTGGAGCGGAAGCTGAGTGACGACGTGTTGAAGCCCAAGCTGGAGCGCAAGACGAGTCAGGACCCGAAACTGCCCAAAGTGCCCGAGGACTCGAACCAGACCCGAGTCCCCTACATTCGCACCATCAGCGGCGGCACTTCCGAGAAGATCAAGATGTTTGAGCACAAGATCAATGAGAGCCCCGAGGAGGCCCAAGAGAGACGGGCTTCCATCAGGAGGAGGAACACCTCCACTGAGTCTGAATTGCTGGAGATTCGCAGAAGATCCGGGGATTTGGGCAGCAGGCGCACTGAAAGCATGCGAGTGTCCAGCAGGTCTTCTCACCACTCAAGTAAGCTTCCTCTTATTCTTATTTTATCTTTTTCCTCTTGAACAAATCTTTTTTTGTGGGAAAGCATATTTTTCTTGCAACAAATCTTACTGTGGCAACAAATCTTACTGTGGCAACAAATCTTATTGTGGCAACAAATCTTATAGTGGCAACAAATCTTATCATGGCCACAAATCTTATTACAAGAAATTTTATTATTGTAAGAAATTTCATTATTACAACAAGATTGTATTGTTACAATAACAAATCTTATAGTGGCAACAAATCTTATCATGGCCACAAATCTTATTACAAGAAATTTTATTATTGTAAGAAATTTCATTATTACAACAAGATTGTATTGTTACAACAAGATTTTATTGTTACAAGATAGTATTTTTAGAACAAGATTGTATTGTTACAACAAGATTGTATTGTTACAACAAGATTGTATTGTTACTACAAGATTGTATTGTTACAACAAGATTGTATTGTTACAGCAAGATTGTATTGTTACAGCAAGATTGTATTGTTACAGCAAGATTGTATTGTTACAGCAAGATTTTATTTTTACAGCAAGATTTTATTTTTACAACAAGATTTTATTTTTACAACAAGATTTTATTCTTACAAGATTTTAATGTTGCAACAAGATTTTATTCTTACAAGATTTTATTGTTACAACAAGATTTTATTGTTACAACAAGATTGTATTGTTACAGCAAGATTGTATTGTTACAACAAGATTTTATTTTTACAACAAGATTTTATTTTTACACCAAGATTATATTTTTACAGCAAGATTTTATTTTTACAACAAGATTTTATTCTTACAAGATTTTAATGTTGCAACAAGATTTTATTGTAGCAACAAGATTTTATTGTAGCAACAAGATTTTATTGTTGCAACAAGATTTTATTGTAGCAACAAGATAGTATTGTTACAACAAGAATTTATTGTTACAACAAGAATTTATTGTTACAACAAGAATTTATTGTTACAACAAGAATTTATTGTTACAACAAGAATTTATTGTTACAACAAGATTTTATTGTTACAAGATTTTATTGTTAGAACAAGATTATATTGTTAACAACGAACCATATTGTATCATTAGAACAAATCTTGATGTTCGAAACATTTTTTTTGTCAGAACAAATCTTTCTGCGGGAACAATTTTTTTGAACAAATTTTTATTTTTGCAACAAATCCAGTCGCAACAGGTTTTGTTCTAACAAATGTATAAAATTTACATGCCTCCTAGCGCAAAATCTGTTACAATGAATCTCATTGCCATAAGGTTTTTTACAGTCCATCTCATTACAATTAATGCATACTTTTAGATTCTTCTTTGAGTTTTCTCAGTCTGTAGTTGTTGCCAAACTTTTGTTTGAGTGTTGAGCTTAAATTTTTCATAATGACATTTTTCCAATATGTATGGAAATACATGTTTGGGCAGAAAAAAAAGTCAGCAGTTCATCAGGAATGAAACAAATGGCAAGTAGAGAATTTTTGCACATGTAGCAAGGTTTTCTGTGGCAGCCCAATGCTCAGATTTTTTTTCTGAAAAATGTTGGTGGTTCCTCCAGGTGGCAGTTAATCAGGGGGCAGTTCAGCGGCATCTGACTTCATATGCATACAATATATACATAAATCCCCTTGTATCCCCCCACCTTTTCACTTTTGAAACTTGTCAAATACCCAAAGTTGCTTTTCAGCTTTTATAGGCTATGCAAGTGCCATTTGTAATCAGACTAAATGTATTGTCATTTGATGCCGATTTTCGCTCTCTCGACATTGAGAGCCTTTTTATTCTGCAGTTTTTTTAAATCACTTGTTATTCATGTGTGGAATTTACAGTTCCTGGATTTTTGGCCCAAGTTTTGCTTTCAAAAGTGAAAATTTTCTCTGTACTGCGCACCTGACTTTTAATTCATTCAGCATTTTGGGAAGTGATAGCTGCTACCCAAGTCTTTATTTATTTATTCTATTACTGTAACTTATTTCTTGAAAACTATTTTTTAAACAGTTGATGCAGATGACCTCACCCACCTATCAAGGGGTCGAAAGCAGTCAGACGAACTCAGTGCAGCCAGATGGACAGAGCAGAAGCTGACGGACATTGCCCACATAGACTCCATGTCTGATGGCACCACTGAGGAAATCCACAACATCCTCCAGAGTGCCGAGGACCATCAATCTTTCAGAACCAACCACATTTCCACCAGAAGGAGCAGCAAAGATGATGACAGTGAACTTAATATTTCTACTGATAGCCAGGAAAGGAGACTTTCAAAGTCCTCAAGCCGCACATCTCCTTCACCTTGTGAGCCATTCACTGACTTTTGTTATGTATGAGAAGGGTCTGTGTTAACAGACACCCCTGCTACCATATTTACTTGAGTACCACCCGCTCCTGAGTAAGCTGCGCACCCCAATTTTTTGCAAGAAATTTGTCTGAAAACCTATCTCGGGGTAAGACGCGCATCCAAGTTTTTTGTTTGTTGTTGCTGAGATTTGAAAACTGTGAATTTTTTGAGGGGATCCATTTTCCTGTATTGACATTTTGTTTTTCCTGCTTTTTACTGTCCGCAGCTCCCTCAATTATAGGAATATCTTCTGCTTTCTTTACTACCTGTTGAATCTCCTACTGATTCCTGCAGAATAAAAAGGCTCTCAATGTCGAGAGAGCGAAAATCGGCATCAAATGACAATACATTTAGTCTGATTACAAATGGCACTTGCATAGCCTTAAATATCTGTAAAAATTAATTTAAAGCACAAGGTCTTCAGCTTGTTTCTGTATGAGGTTTAATTGAATGAACAAATTAGAGAGAATCTTTGATGAGAAATCATATATGGGAAATCATATACTGATTCCTAAAAGTTCTATCCTTTCAGCCATTAAATCCCATGAACAAAGAAACTTGGCGCCACACATTTCCTCTCAATTTTTCTTTAAACATACCCACATAAGATGTGCAGGGTTTTCAGAAGTTTTCCTCAAAACTTTTATCCCTGGGTACCAAGCACCCTTTTTTGCCTTAAATTCTGGAAAAAGGTGCGCGCATGGTACTTGAGTAAATACGGTGATTTCCAGCAAAAAATAAATTGGTGTCTGCAAAACAGATTTCATCATTGGTTTACAGAGATGGATCTAGTTTACAATTGTTTTTGATGGCAACAACTGGAAATTTTGTTGATGAAAGAAATGGATTTTTCCAATTGAGTTGAGAAAATTCTGTAAAAGCATTGCACATGTACTGGAACAATTGTGTTAGTGTGTTTTTTAGGCAAGACCTTACTCTAATAACCCCAGTAAGCTTGCATGAAACTGTTTCTGACATCTTACAATCATTTATTTGGTATCCCTTTGATGTTGGGGTTGTGAACTTGTGTCAGGCTGCAGAAAATCTATAGCCAACTTGCAATTCCCATTTACAATACACAGAGAAAATAATTGCATGACTCATCATTCAGTACTGTAATAATGCAGTACGTGCATAAACCATTAGTGGGCAGACAAAATATTTTCGGTACTGTATTTTCATTGGTCCTCACGTGAGGAATTATGACTCAGTTTCCAGAAACTGGAAACAAAATAAAATGTCTCGTATATAATGATGAGCTTCTTTACGAGTTGGCAACTATATGCAGTCTTTATGCACCTCTTGCAGTGCGTTTAACTTGGCTCAAGATGCAGCACTTTTTCTACCCCGTCTATTTTTCTCATTTCTTTTATACATATTGCGAGGGAATAAGCATAAAACTTTTCTGACAGGTGAGGAAATAAGTTGGTGATATTGTTGTCTCGTATTGCAGCAAAGTCAGTGACACCTAGTAGTGTGAAGAAGATGGAGACTGAGGAACAAGTCAAAATGAGCATTAGACTCGCCAAGAAGAGGAACAGTGATGCAGCTGCCAGTGCCAAAAGAATCATAGATGTCACTCGTCCAGCTGATGGCGTTGACGCAGGCTTGATGGATGCTGTTGGGCCAACTGACGAATCTGGAAAGCCACTGTTTGGCCTTGCTGCCCTGCGTGCTTTGAAGAAGCAAGGTGAGATGCTCTTTTTTTTGCTTTTCAAGTAGAATTGAAATTTTATTTTTGTATATTGAATGCAGTACTTTTTAGACAATCTGTTCATCACTCTTTAAAGATTGCAACAGAAGCACCATTGACAAACATGCTATGAGAATATCATCTGGCATTTTAAAAATGCATTCAGATCGTTTTTGTTGATATTCCCTTGTATTGTTTGAAAATTGTCTCACCCTTTCAACTTCTGACTATCAAAGGGGAACCAGGAACCAGTGATGAATAATCATTATTCATAAATAAAACAAAGTAGCAGGGTTAATGACTTCTCTGGATGAAAGTTAGCAACCTGGAAGTCAAAGTTTTCCAGAGAGAAACCCTCTTCACGCAAAAAAAAAAAAAAAAAAAGTGGTATAAACCCAACTTTGACCAAAAAATTATCTTGAAGCATGTTACTGTACTTTGAATTTTAAGCATTTTATAAAGATGATATGGTTGAACATGCTCTGCTCACAGGAGTGTCACATCAACATTTTTACTCAAAAGGAAATCTTATTTGCTTGTAATGTACTGTATTAATAGGTACTGAACTGATTATTGCGGATATTTTGATTGTGGAGGACATTTTTCACTTTTAATATACATATATTACTTTACAGTATGTGATTCATTTGTTACAATATCGTGCTGGGAGTGCTAATTTGCATGAAAACCATTTACTTTGGGTTGGCTGAAAGAAAAGAAGGTTCAAGATTTTGCCCCTCGAAGAACTCGGGTTTAAATCCGAAAAATTCAAATTTCGTCTCCTTCTCCAATGCTCGCATGAGTCAATGGAGAAAAAGTTTCTGGGCTCCAATGCAACCCTGTGAGATAACCTTCCTCAGGAAAAACAGGGTTTCAAAACGCTGCTTGCTCAGAACATTCCAATCAAAAATAGCAATGTACTGTACTTGTACATCGTACTGCTTGTTGCAGCAGCAGCACCAGCAGAAGCTGGCTTCAAAAGTCGACGTAGGAAACGCTTGACATGGATGATGCATCCGAGAAGCATCCGAGTACAGTATGTAGGACATGACGAATTGCGATGCTGTGCACATCTCCATCTTCGCTTTCCTTCCCCGAGAAGTAGCGGCTATTACATGCAGTAGTGTAGCAGTTCAAAAGTTATTTTGACTAGTGTTCCGTCTCTGTGGAAGTAAATGGCTGACTTGTGGTCATCTTAATGATGGTTGAACGAGGTTCCCGAGAGCGGTTTCCAATTTCTGATATCTGTGGCGGTTCGGATGAGAGCAGTTGGGAGTTTCAGTGGTCGGAAACAAGGTAAATGAGGGTGAGCCGTTTTGAAAAAAGGCCCGGGGTGTTGATGTGGAACACGGGGGGACCCGCGCGTGCGCAGCTCTGGTTGCTCGGAAACGCGCGCGTCGACCCCATCATGGTTTTCATAGACCGTAGGTGGGCACCATTGGTTGTGACAGGGCTTGTCAACAACCAGTGGTACTGGTACGTGAGTCGCTTCTAGGGCGTATTGGTAGGGCTTATTTCAGAGATGGTTACAAATTTGCGAGAGCATACTAGCTCAGATTAGGAAGAGGACTCAGCCAAACTTTTGAGAGATTGGATGAAGTAAAAGAATCCTTGAGCATATTTAGCAGGAACATTATTGACACACATCAACGCTGTGTGAAAATCTTGAAGTACGTAAAAAAGGAATGCATTCTCAATTTGAGTTTAGCCTCTAAAAGTTATGTTGAGAAGTAGGTGATCAGGTCTTGAGAAGGCTACACTTAATAGTGTTGAAGCCCTTGTATAGCGCTTTTCTCATGAGTTATTGGAAATTTAAAAATAGTGTGCTAAATTCCGTATACAGTATCCATTTACTTTTAGTTGAAACCACCTGAAGGGTAACGTGGTCAGTTATTCATTTGAAAATTTGTAGCATTGGAGAAGATCATATGAAGTAATATTCCTCAGTTTAAGGTAATAGCGTAGTTATTAAAACAAATGAATCGGAGTAAATTAACCTGCAAACTTGAGAAAACCTGTAACGTGTTTGTCACATTATCTTCCCATCCATGGGTGTACTACAAGTGGTCAGTCAGTCAATTTCAATTATTTATTCCATAATGTAAATAACATTGCCTTTGCACACCAGCTGCTGTATGTCCGGTCAAGGGGATATCATTTTCGCATTCCATTGCCAATTATTTTTCAAAGTGAAAATTTCTTATGAAAACTCTGAAAATGAAAATAGGGACCACTGCTGACTGAAATAGTTTCGAGTCTCAAATCCCAGGAAAAAAAACCTTGCATGAGCACAATAGCCTTCAGCTAAAGATGAGTGTAGTCGCTACTAAAGGACTGTACTGTACTGTATATTTAGAATCCTGAGGCCATCGGCAGGAAGACGGGTAAATGTTGGAAAGGCTAGTATGGGGAAAGGTATACAATGTCCAGGTGCAGCCACGAGTGGCAGCCGTCTGCCGCCGCGGGCGCGTAATCGGGGCGTAACGGTCGCACTCTGTACCTGTCCTACTGTCCGCGACGCACTCTGCGATGCAAATGAGAGGCCGAGCCAGTCGTGTGTTGGCCGTTGCGCGAGGCACATCTGATTCACGTGCGATAGGAGATTGTTTCCCCCGTTTTTTTCCACCTTCCCGCGCAACCGCGCGAAGGTAGGTCGATGCTGGCGACGACCGTGTATTTCCCGACAGCCGGTGCGGATCTCCCCTTGAAAATTTCGCGCTGCTTTCCATCCCGCGATTCCTTATTTATTTTTCGTCTGCATTTCAGCTGCTGGGGAGCAGAAAAATGTCAAAGAAGAGCCCAGGAAGGTATCCGGTGAATTTCGTTCTCAGCAAGGTGCGTGTCCTTTTCCCCGTGTTTTCCTCCGACTTTCGATGCATTGGTGAGATTTTTTCCCAAGGCTTGGCTGCGTTGAGGAGAAAGTTGAGGGATGAGGAAGATGATGACGTGTCGGTGTCGAGGATCGTGTCGACGTCGAGCGAGCAGAGATCGTTTCTGAGTGACCACAGGCCTGTGACAGGAATCCAAGACGCTGTTTCCAGAATGGGAGCAGAAACCGGAGGTGAGTTATTTTTATTTTTCTCTTAATTTCACCGAAATTGGATCCTTGCTCTAAGGAAGCCACCAGCATTTTGACCTTATTTGTGCGATAACCGGTCGCACATCCTTTCAAAAATATACCCAAGAAAAACTACACTGGAAATTTCTGAAGATCACGAATACAAGACGTATTCATAATCTTCAGAAATTTCCAGTGTAGTGACTGAATGTTGGGGCCGATTAAAATCTCGGGGATAAAAAGATTAATATTTATGAAAATGTTTTCCGCTGGGTGAATTCCCTGATTTTTTTAAATAGTTAATTTCAGTATTGCACGAAATTCTGACCTAGTACATGTAATCTTCATACGAACAGAATTTCTGCAGCACGCGACTCACTAACCTTTTCATGCACGTAATAGATTCATTTTTTGTATTTTTACGGAGTTTTTCCGTCAGAAGTGACTGGCCTAAATCAAGATTCTTTCTATAATCACTTCAATTGAGCAGACAAGGGTTCCAGAAAAATTTGTCTCTTCTTTCATCATGATTAGTTCATGAGTCCCAGCATTCTCTCGAATTTTCCGAATTCTGACATCGATTGCGACGAGTTTTTTTTTTCATTCAGAAAATCTCTGAAAACTAGACAATTCGGTCAGCAATCAGCACAGGATGAACCTGGAATGATATCTGAAAAAATATTCGGAATATTATTCGTTCATCATCTTCTTGGAAAACGTTAACGGTTGTTGGCGGAATTGAGGTCAGCGGAGAAGCGAGAGGATATGCCCTAGTGACGATTCTCGAAATGCCGGCTTCTGTTTCCCTTTCTTAGAAAATAAAATGGGAAATTGGAGGAATTGAGTTACAGAGATTTCTTGAATTTTTCTTCGAAGTTTACGAATCGGAAATTAACTTGCCTAGGTTCGATTTACGTAATGCAGTTGAACCTCTGTAAGTCGAATTTCTAGGGACCAGGAAAAAAATCGACTTAGGGAGGTTTCAACTTAGGGAGGTTTTGATTTTTGCAGGTTTTGAATTAGGGAAAAATAATTCTTGCTGTGAGGATTAGTAAAAAAAAATTGCAGGAAATAGTAAATGAGGAGATTCTAGGCCTAAACTTGTCTCTTGATGAGTTTTAACTGTGCTGAACTTGGAGGAAGGGGTTCATTTGCTATATTTTCCTTTCAATTCTTTCCAAGATGCATAAAATTATTTGTTTTAATCATTTTCTCTCTCATATTTCAAAGAAATAATAACCAGAAGGCCTCAGAAAATTTGACTTACAGAGGTTTTAGAAAAAAGAATTCGAGTTGGGGAGGTTTTTCATGTATTGATTTTAAGGGAATTTGGACAGGGACTGGAGAAAAATTCGACTTAGGGAGGAATTCGACTTACAAAGGTTCAACTTATCTATAAGTTTGCCTTTGTGTACCTTCGCGTATTGGAGGTGCAGCTGAACCTTGACAACTCAAACGTCCCTTATGTCAAATAATTTACAAGTCCCTGTCAGAAGTTCTTTTGAGACAATGCATCCAAAGCCTCACTCTCAAGGGTTTCCTCCCCAAACTCGGAATTTTTTGGAGGCTATTACTTCATTGACAGAAAACCAAAAATCAATAAAATGGTAACTTCATGCATTTTATCGAAAAGAATTGAAAGATTGAGTGGGCAAATAAACCCTTGCTTCCGAGTTCAGCATCCTGAAAACTTATTCAAGAAGCAATTTGAGGCCAAAATACCACCGATTACAATTTCCTCAATTCTTCTTCCTTTCACCCAACAACAAAAAAATGCTCGTTTCCCAAACTCCAAATTTTTCGCTGGTCCCTGAAGTTCAACTTGGAGAGGTTTGACTGCAATTAATTTTTCTGGAGACTTTTTCTGAATTTTAATCTTCGAAATGGAGAAAGTGGGTCAAGTGCTCGGAAATTGAGCTTAACGTCTGAATTCGAGACAAACTATCCTACTGTTCCCCAAAACTTGACCTGATCGAAGGAAATGCATTAGCCCGATTTTCTAGCACTTATTCAAATTTCAGTATCAATTATTTTATGTGTTCCATGTGCCATTCTTTGTGAATCAAACTTGATTTTGTTCTATGGCCTCTTTAGCCAGACTATTGGAAGATGGGGATCAAAGGCAAAATCCGAAAGCTCTTAATTTGCTTTGGAAATCCTTACCTTTCAAAATATTTTTAGGTCATGTTTCTTTGACTATTTTATGATCAAAGCGGCAAAAATATGACAAATAAAATGCATTGATAAATTGCAGACAGACTGGTTTGCTTCACGAAATGTGCAGTGGGTTCTGAAAATTTGCGTCTTCCAGATATCAGCAGTGCTTCCATGTATTTCGCAATTTTAAAAATCAATTTCCTGTCCTGCCGAAAATGTCATCGAAAGTATCGATGCCGATAAGGAGAAATTTTCGGCTTTCCAACTTTTTTTCATTTCGTGCAATATTCCGGAGGGTGGGAAACGTTCGTGCCATTGCGCGCCGAGCTGAAATTTTTTCAGTGGTTCGCGTTGGTTAAAATATTGCGTCAATGTGCGAATTGACATGTTCGCCAAAATAAAATGAAGAAAATAATAATATGACCGGACGATGCCGTGGCGTTGGTAGAATTTTTTCAAGCCGGTTTCGAATTTCCGACTGCGTATGAAATGCGGAGTTCGCGGGATCACACGTTCGCGGCCAGACTCCGAACAACGGTTTCAACTTACGTGCAATAATTTTATTTTCGTTTTTTTGCAGGCGAAAAAGGATCAGAGGCCGAAGCAAGGTCTTTGCTGAACAAGTTCCTGGGAGCCCAGGTTCTGGTGAACGCCATCGACCCGCTGATGAACGCCGAAAAGCAAAAATCGTCGGTGAGTCTCGTGTGTGTGTGTTTGTTGAGGGGGGCGAAGAAAGAAAAAGGGCGGATCGAGGTCAACAAACAGCCGATTTTAGCGCCGAGATTGAGACCTTTTGATACGCAGGGCACTTGCCAAAATTTTGCGTGTAAAAATAAGCCAACGGGGGTTTATGGCACGCAGCCAGGTGCCCATTTACAGCCGGGGTATTTTCGGACACCCCGGGTTCCTCCCGCCGAGTGTGGGTTCAGTCTGTCTTCCACCTCAGACCCAGACGAGTGTTTGACTTGTTTTTTCCCTCTCCAAATCTTTCTTTCGGGCTGCTGGGTCGATCGACTATAGACTTCAACCCCAACAAAAACCCCCGATCCCACGCACACGTCGTAGTTTCATACCAGACTTGACACCCGGTATCCGAGATATCCGGAAACCACAACGCCATCTACATCACACCCTTGTGTCAGATGGATGTCAATTAGGATGTTACCGAGTGCGTGTCTAGTGTCTTCTTTTGTGCTCTGTCGTGGGTCAATTGACTGGTATTTCTTCCGTCCTTCGGGCTACACTTAACTCTGACACACACCCGTTTTCAAGATTGTACCACAACAAAAGATTCATTTTTAGATACTGTACTACGCATCACATGTGGATGAGATGTTCCCCGTGCTCAGGAAGTTTCTGTGCTGTGCTGTGGGAAATTTGTGATGCATTCCACTGTCTGAGAGGAAAACTTCGTTCTTTTCGAGAACTGAAAGTGTATGCAGTAAAATTTTGTTACATCCAGAGGGACCTGAGAAAAATTCGCTGTGACGAGATTCATGGTTTTTTGAATATTTAGGAATAAAATTTTTTTGGAAACAGGTAATATTGTCGATGCTTTAATGTACATTACTGTACTTCCAGGCAGGATATGAGATGATCGCCGCATTTTCAACTTCTTTTGGTAAACAAATAGATAAAATACGCAATAGGAAATATTGTACTGTACAATGCTCTCATTTTAGATCTTCCCTTTTCTAGATTTTCTAAAAAATGTTCCTATCTTATTCATGTATTTTCGGAAGCAAATAGAAAATACACGCATAAGAAGACTACAGTATTTATTCATCAAGAGGTGTATTTTCCCTGCTATGAGCAATACCTTTCCAAACTTAATTTTCTTTTAAAAAATAAGCGATTTCCAAAGTCTGAAATGAAGCTAAATGCTTTTCCACTGTATTGTACCTTCATTTTTCATTTAAATGCTAATTTTTCTAAGATTAACATTAATTTTTTGCAAGGTTTTTAATTTTGCGCTAGTTGTGTTTTCCCACGTTTTGCCAATTATTGAAGTCCTCACGCACAAATAACAAAGGCAAACATTTATTATGCTGAGATTCTAGAGGAGAATCAGTTTGTTGTAACGACCTTTTTATAGCAATGTCACTGAAGAAACTGCCAAGACCGAGAAAAAATTCGTTGTACGAGATTCGCTGTAACGAATTTTCACTCAAGAATAATTGGCAATATGAGTCATTTTGTAGACGTGTCCTCTGAATTTTTTGACTGGATATTATTTTTGTACTGTATCCATGTTACTTGTGAGTAATGTTGATGAAAATCGGTTAGCATTTGGGTATTATTTTTATACCTTGATTTAACTTTAAAAAATAGTTCTGTATACCGCGGAAATATGTCAGTTGAATATGAAAGCTGCGAAATAGGTCAACATTTTATTAAAATCTTTCAGCCACTCGCATGTGTGTCACCTTAGTTTTAATCGAGTGTGCTTGAAATTTTTCTCCCGTTTGTTTGATTTTTAAAAACATTGATACATAGAAAGTGCGAGTGAGATATTTTGGAAATCTAAGTACAGTACCTTGAATCCCGTTACCTTTGAGCTCATTTCTCAAATTTAATTTTTGTTCTTCTTTTCAAAAGAGGCAGTTGATCTTTATCGAGGGAAAGAAGTTCATTATTACTTCACGAAGGTGTTGTGTGACGTAAGAGGAGAGAGTAGGAAAAATGGTGCGGACATCATTAATATTTGGGCATTTTCTCACTTTCCTCCACTCTCGATTTCCTATCATTGTTCCGTCGGAAATTTTCGACGGGGGTGTCCTTTGTTGAGCACGATGCCAACCGGTGCATTCGTGTAATGAAATGAACAGGTGTTTCATTCAGTACTTGAAAGCCTCAGTCCTGCTTTTTTCCCGCCGAAATAAAAAATCCGTGTCCTACTCATGGACCAGTTCTGGCTAATGAAAGAAGGAAGTCGTAAGAAATGGTGGTGGGATATGGAATAGAAAGAGAAAATAACAAGACTGGAACCAGTTTTCGGAAATGGGGGAATTAGTTCAAATTAGTACCCAAATTCTTGATGTGTGGGTGACCTGACTCGACTTGTTTTTCTCAGTCTTTCTCTTTTCTAGTGCCCCAGTTAATTTTTCTTTCTAATCTTCATTCGGCGACAGCGCCACCAATAAAGTTTGAATTTTTACGCAATGATCCATAAATTCTTGAATAGTCCTGCCACATCGAAAAAAATTGTAGAAAGAAAAATGAGCCACGGAATGAAGAAAAAAAAAGCAGTTCCGTGAAGATAAGAAAAAGGTGTTCTTGGCAGAGTGGTTTTGTCAGGAGCTCATTTGTGTTGTACTAATTTGGCGTGACCTGAATTTCATGGCCCTCAGAAGTGGAAACAAGCATGCATTCGTGTCGGGAATCCGTCCCTGGTGGAAAAATCGTTTACCCGTTGATGGATGGCATTTTAAAAATTATTCACCACGTTTTTTTGTTTGTTGGGAACTTTATGCTTAGTTTGCAAATTATCTCTCGCTTCTCACACGCATCACGTTTTGTGTGTTTAAAATTAGGAAAACTTGGAATAACTTTGAATCAGCTTATACTTGGTTCAGGGATTCTTCCCGCGCCAAAAATTATTCCTGAATGATGCTCTAAAATTATTTAAACGCTGATCTTCCAAATTTTTGTGACTCTGTGTTTTTCAAGTCCCTGTCTGGCATTTTAAAAATTATTCAAGACGTTGTTTTCTTGGGGCATTTTAAAAATTATTCAAGACGTCTTTTTCTTGGGATCTTTATGCTTAGTTTGCAAATTATCTCGCTTCTCACACGCATCACGTTTTGTGTGTTTAAAATTAGGAAAACTTGGAATAACTTTGAATCAGCTTATACTTGGTTCAGGGATTCTTCCCGCGCCAAAAATTATTCCTGAATGATTATCTAAAATTATTCAAACGCTGATCTTCCAAGTTTTTTGTGACTCTGTGTTATGACTCACTTCTCCTTTGCATCAAAATTATCATAACAGTTGAACCTCCCGAAGTCGGATTTTTTTTTTAAGTCCTTGTCTGAACTGAGTTCCTTAGAAACAGTGCATAAAAATCCCTTTAACTTAAAGGCTTTCCCCCTCAAGCCTCCATAGATCGAACTTTCTAAAGTAATTTTGGCTTTAGTTTCATTGGCACAGGAAAGAAAACAGCAATAAAATGTAACTTGATGCTATGGTAAAAGATGTGAGACCATTTGGGCGAATTAACCCACACCTCCGAGTTCAGCATTCTGTCGACTCATTTATCGTGCAATTTAAGGCCCAGAATATCTTAAATCACAATTTTCCGCAAATCTTATCGTCCCCCTGACGAAAGTGCTAGTTCCCTTTTCTCGAAACTTTCCTAACTCGATTTTTTTGGTTGATCCCTTCAAGTTTGACTTGAAGAGGTTTTACTTTATTTTCAATTTAATGACGCAAGTTTATTTTCTCTATTGTTGTACTTATAACTGAGCGTTGTGACATTTGTGACTCTGTGTTGTTCGCAATTTCACTCATCTTAACTCCAAGACTGGGGCCAATTTTATTTTCGTGTTCCGACGTGAAATTTTATCATACAATATAGGGATTACATTCGACCTAAGGACACTTTAAATCCAGAAAACCTGCCAAACATCCATCCTTTCTCTCTTTCGCTGCCTTTCTTTCCCCCGATAAAAAAAATGCCCCTGGTTAGAATTTTTTTCTTGTTTATTTTAAGAGGTCTGACGACACATTCAAGTTTGATTTGGAGAGGTTTGACGATATTTTGTTCACGTGCAGTGTTGTCCTTTGACGGGGGAGTTCGCTCGTACCCGATTGGTGAAATCCATATTTTTGCTGTCGAATTTCATTGAAGAAAGCGGCTTCGAAGCGTCGCGGGAAAGAGTTGGACTTTGTCACTTGGTTTTTTATGGGTTTCCCCCCAGTCATCAGCGACGAGTTGCTGCCGTTATTCACTGCACTGTGCAAAGGAGCACGTTGTATGGAAAAAGGTCGTTGAAATTCGCGACAGGCATTTGTGAAAACGGTATAGTCACGCGTGTTGCCGGAAAGGAAAACAAAAAACATACACACACACGCACGAAACACGCGAAGAACGAGAGAGAAAAAAAAAGTTGAAAAGAGGAAAAAGGAAAAAAAAAAAGCTAAACATGGAAGCGGCTGCTGAGGAGAATGTGCCTGTGGCTGAGGAAGTGGAGCAAACTGTGGACTCGGAGGTGAGACTCGAGGGGAATCGAATTGCCTACCGAAAATTGTGTATGTGTGTGTGTGTCTGTGTGTGAATGCACTGGGCAGAACTGACTTGACTCCCCCGCCATGACAGGTGTGCACTCGGGCATCCTCGTGTGTGTCTGCCCCGCAACAACAACACCTGCCCGGTTCACATCCATTCCTGGGGTCTTCCAATATACAGTGAGACCCCCAGATGCGGACATAATTGGTGAATCAAGAGTGTCCCTAAGTTGAATTGTCTCTTAAGTCGAGTCATGTTTTCCCATAGATTTACATTATAAAATTTTAATTGGTGTTTCATGGAAGAAATATTCTTCAGCATTTCCTGAGAAAAATTGTTTGCCACTTGAATTTGAATTACTGAGTACATTTTCAAGTCAATAAGAACATTTGGAGCATTGAATAGTGTATCTCTGTGCTGTACACTGACATTTTGGCATCTACAAAAATAACATTCAAGTGAAAAAATGTGGAAGTCCCTCTATGCTGGAGGTAATTTTCTAAAATAAGCTAAATGGATGGTAATTTGGTGAGAGAACTTTTCTTACATCAATTTTAGGGTTGGAAATGTATATGTTTCTTTTAATTTGGCCTGAAATTTATTTGCAAATTTATCACAAAATGTCTCTATGTTGAGTCAATGTCCTCATGTTTGGCCTTTTTTGTAATTTTTTCTGGGAAAATAAGTATCCCTATATGTCAAATTGTCCGCAGGTCAAGGTGTCCGCATGTGGGGGTCTCCTTGTCAATTTAAAAGGAAAAGAAGAGAACCAAGCTGGAAGCATTTTTATGAGACTGGTAGATTGCAAAGTCAAAAACCCTTTCTATGTCAATTATTTCTGTGGTCTCTTTATGAAGTCTGTCAAAAAATGCATGTTGGACCTTTTTCAACTCAGAAACTGTCCTGTGACAACAGGGCCTGTCAGGTTCATCTCCAATCTGGGGTTTTCTCATATTATTGATGTCAATTTAGAAGAGAGAAGAAAAGGAACAAGTTGAGAAAATCCCTTGCTGTATCAATTTTTTCTCCAGTCTCTTGTCAAAAATGTACAGTATTTAGATTTATTTAACCCAAAACTGTCCTGCAACGCCATCACCTGTCCGGTTTGCATCCGTTCTGGGGTCTTCCCATATACTCTTTCAATTAAGAAAAAAAAGAAAAGAAGAAAACCAAGTTGGAAACATTTTTACGCGACAAGGAGATTACTAAGTCAAACCCCTTCCTTTGTCACTTATTTTTTTGATGAAATTTTGAAACATTGCCGTAAAAATTTATTTTATGCGTTTTTTTATTCGAAGACTGTCCTGTGACAAGAACAACACCTGTCAGGTTCATCTCCAATCTGGGGTCTTTTCACATTTTTTTATAATTGAGAAAAGATAACGAAAGAGCCTTTATTATTAATTTTTATGATGAAATAAGTGTGTCCCCATGTCGAATTGTCTGCAGGTCAGGTGTCCGCATGTGGGGGTGATTTTCTGGACTACAGTCATGGTAACAGTGACAACCTGACTTCGAAATTTTAACAAACCCATCTCATGTCTGAGGCATTCAAAATGGGCCTTGAGATGCAGACCTGATTACTTTTCAGACTGTTTCCATCTGTTGAAAGTTGAATCCCATTTTCCCATAGGGAAATGTTGTAATGACTTCTCATGTTCGGTAAATATTGGAAAAAGTCCTCCAAATCAATCATTAAAAATGTATGCAGTATTTCAACTCTATGAGGCAGAAAATAAATGTGCAGAAAAAATAACAGAATATACAGTACCTGTTTTGCATGAGAAGGAGTCCAAAAAATAATTGCTATATGTAACACAGTTGATTGAAAACTCCATAAAAAGCAAAGAAAAAATTAGCCCTTTTTAAAAATAGATTTTAAGGAAATTCATGATGAGATTTAAATTGACTTTATCTCCATGGAGGAGCTCGATTTGTTCAAAAGACGTCAGCATTTTAAAATGCGGTAATATTTTTAATTGTTCTGCTGATGTTCTGAAAGTGCCCACTTGTATTTTGAGTCAATGTCCAGATGTTGAGACATATTTTCTGAGTTCAAAATGACCTTAATTTTAATTGTCTGTATATCGGTGCATCCATATGCCACGTCCCCGCTGTAAATGCTTTTTTTTCGAAAGGAAGATGGGAAAGCCGAAATTTCACCTGTTGTATCGCATTTTTATGAACGTTTGGCCACTATTATCACAAAAGATGATGGAGTGTGTGAAATTTCATTTGGAGCCACTTCATGGAGTTGGGAACTTCCGGTCATTTTGTTTTGTAGTTCAGTCAATCACAAAAAGGGGCGTAGAATGAAAGACTTCGAAACCGCGTTTAATTGGATTGCACAAGGACCCTCGGAACCATTACCCCGTCACACCCTTGTGAGACCACACAGCTGTTTTCAAGGCTGAATCTAAGCCCGAAAACTTCCTGTGTGGTTTTATAGTCTTTTAAATAAGTGCTTCGCATGAATCCCTTCAATTTTGAGTGAGAAGCGTTTGAAGGGAAGTGGAGATGAAATTTAGAAGTGTGGGGCCTCGAGATGCGGACGTAATTCTTGCTTGAACCTTGTCTGTATGTCGGATCACGTTTTCCCGAAAGACTTCCATGGGAACATATTTCATTGATTCTTCTCTTTTGTCAAAAATTAGGAAGAAAGTCCCAAATGACTCGAATTAATTTTTTTCTCCGTTTCAAGATACACAGAATGTCTGTTCGGAAGAAAATTACAAAAGCTGATCTTTGGCACGAGGAGGAGCTCAAGAAGCAAAGAAAAAGAAAGTCTAGTTCTACAGTGCACATATGGAAAGAATTCTGAAAAAAAATAAGCACAAAGTTATCCTGTTTTTGATTATGAATTTGAGTAATTTTATAATGAAATTTATTTTAATTCTTGTGAACATGAATAGCTCAAAATTTTCCGACGATATCAAATTTTGAAAAAAATGTAATTTATTAATGTTTCTAGAAATGTTGGAAAAGTGTCCATTAAAACACATTGTCGGGATGACGGTGTAGATTTTTCTAGTCTTACTTGTCCGTATGTCGAGGTCACTCTGTAAATCTGTAAGTACTGTAATGGAGGATTGTGCTGCGTTGACTGTCCGCGGAGATCATGACAGTTTTGGGGTGTTGCCCTCAGCAGGAGGAAGGCTTCAGTTCTAATCTGAGAAATCCGCAGAAAATCCCCCTCCCCCCTCCTTCAGAAAAAATGTACCTTTTGATTTATGGTCGAAAAGCGGGGAACCAGAAAAGGAGGCACCGGTGCGACAAGTCTATTTTTGTCACCTCAGCGGGTTTTTATAGTCCGTGAAAATTCCTTGTGTGTGGGTGTCATAAACCCCAAGTACTGTACCCAGGAAAAGTGTCTTTTTCCTGGAGACTCGGAGAATAAGGGGGGGGATGATTCAGACACGGGACTCCCAGGAGAGTTACTGGCCTCGTGTGTGCGTGTTTCCCTGACGCGGTCCCCTGACACTTGTTCGCGGACCCTGACTTGGAGAACGTTTAAGTCCCCCCGCAGCGTCATGCCGCAGTCTTTTAAATTTTATTTTTGTACTTTACTAGACACTGAAGGTACTTTTTAGTCATTCGAGGGTTATTTTTGCGTGTTGTGGGAGAGTTTCCGACTATACCGAGGGCATTATGGAGACCGGGACTCCCAGCGGTTGACCGGTTGCCGCGACGCGCGGCCGACTTTCTCTCCACGCTTGCCAGCCTGCGAGGCTCAGTCCGCCGCGCGTGCTCGAGGCGTGTGCGCGCGTACGTGGACGTGGCGCGGGATAGCCGTGCACCCTGTCTGTGTGCGGTGTATGTACAGTACGTGTGTCCCTTTTCGGTTTTTTTTTTGTTCTCCGGGCTCGAAATGTGGGGCAGAAAAGCGAACCTAGTTCCTCGGTCTCGCCTGGAGGCGCAGGGTTTCCGGTGGCGAAACGTTTCCTGTTTCTGCGTGAAATCCGACGGGTGTTCATTTTTTCGTGTGTTTATTTTCCTTCCCGCCAGTGTTGATGCAACCTTGAGGGAGGTTTTTTTTTTCGAGAGAGAGAGAGGGTGAGAGATAGAGGGGGAATTATGCGGCCGTGGGTCAGGTTCCTGCTGCTGGCTGAGTTTCCTCCTGCTGCTGCCAGAAGGTAAACATTGAGGATCTGGACAGTGTTCTTCTGTTTGGGTGCAGGGCGACATTTTATTTATACTGAAGCCTTTGGGACGAGTTGAAGGGATTGAAGCAGGTGCGAAGAGCTCTGGCGCAAAAAGGGGAAACGCTCTTAGTTAATATCGCTCAGTATAAAAAGTAGAGACCGTGGATTACGAGAAATATGATTTTACGTGTTTTTTTAATTTTTGTAGAGCGTGCTGACGAGATCTGTGGAAACTGAAGTCTCTGGTGCCCTGGAGGAAGGTCGGCTGAAGGATCCGGTGAGTTTGCAGCAAGAAAGACCATGTTTTTGTGCAAAAAAGAAACAGTGTCATGGTGGTCGTTGTTTTTTTTTATTATTGCAGCTTGGTGGGGCAACTGACGCAGACCAGCGGGCTGCTGTCAGAGAGAGACTTCGGGATCTTGGATCCAAATCCAAAGGTAAGCCCCTTTCCCCCCCCCCCCCGGAACATCTGGGTTTACACTGTTGGAACATGACTAACTCAAACATATGTCGAATATTTGTCAAGTCCCTCTCTGACTTCCCGTAGAAACATGGTATTAAAAACCTCAGGAATCTACTGGAAAGAGAAATGAATGAAAATGTAACTTGATTTATTTGAAGGGATGTGAAAGAGGATTTGGGCAAATGAACCCTTTGCCTCCAAGTTAAGCATCCTGTAAAGTCGTTTATGAAGCAATTGAAGGCCCATAATGTCATTGATTAGAATGTCCTGTACAGTAATTATTCTTCTTTTCTCCAAGAAAAATTCTCTTTTTCCCCTAACTCGAAACCTCCGTAATTCTCGTGAATTTCGACTTGAAGAGGTTGGGCTTCATTTGCGTTTTATTTGATGGAGCAGTTTGTTATTCTCAAATATGACACTCATTGTTATTGACCGTCGTGACGTTTTGTTGCTGTGAACTGTTCGCTATTTTACTTATCTTCACTCCAAGACTGGGTACAATTTTATTTTTGGTTTTCGTCGTGAAATCCAGAAAAAGTTTCGAACATCTAGAAAATGTCTCGATATGCAGACACTTGGCCGAAACTTTATAGAAAATTAAAAAGGTTATTATTTCGAAATTTTTATATTTGTTCAACATATGGATCTACTGTATTTATATTGTTAAAAATTCAAAATAATGTACTACATATTCACTTATATTTATAATCCAAACGACAAAATTGTGATTCTGTACTTTTTTCATCAATTGTATTGAGTGTAGCAAGATGTGTGCTCATTTTTGCCTTTTCGGGCTCCTTTTCACGCTGAAAGGGCACATTTGTTTTCTTCATCTTCTAGTTGGGGAGAAAAGGCAATTTTTATTTAAATATTCAAGAACTTCATTACTTCACTTGCCGGAGGTAGAAGTGAATCAAAATACTCCCGTTGAAGTCTATTGGTCAACGTGAACTGACGTGCAGAAATTCTGTCGGGTTACAGTGACAATTTTTTGAGTTTTTAAAACCGTTCAAAGTGGGCATGTGAAGTAGAGAAGTGTAGCTTTCTCAGAAGCGGGAACTGTTATGAAATTGATATACCAGAGGGAAAAGAAAAATGGGCCAATGTCCAGCGTTTTTTTGGATACCAGTTCAATATAAAGCTTCTAATTTGTATTGAGAACAAATGTCTCCAATGTAAGTTAGTGTCAAGTATTTGATTGATAAACAATAAAACAAGTTGATCAGTCCGGGACAGGACCGGGATTCCGTTTCAGAATTCTTAGTTTAAGGGATGAAGTGTATTCACACAAATATAATGAATAACCGCTGAACCAGCTTGGGCTTGTAGGAGTAATGTGAATAACTTGGAATAACTCAGCTGAAACTGAACTGATCTAATGTGAGCATGAAAAGGATGCAGCTTATATACTATCAATAATGCAGTATTTAACCTTCAACAGGTTTTACTATTACAACAGAATAGGATAAGTTTATTGTTGAAGATGCTGCGGTGCCAGGATGTTCCTGGCACTGCGATTTTGAGGTGGGGGGGAATATTTCATTTAATTCTAAGAAACAAGTATTTTATCGTACTTGGCGTGCATGTCCAACAGTTCCAACGAAAGTAGAAATGAGGAAGCGGAAATTTTGTGTGTGAATCCACGATTTGCAAATTTGGAGGAATAAAGCGAAAGGACGCCTTCATTTTCACAGCGCTGACTTCTTCGAACCATTATTCTCTCGTAGTTTTAAGTTCATCAGCGGCATGATTTCTGATATTTTAGGCAAATATTGCCAGAATAATTTGCCTATTTAGTCGTCGTTTTTACTGAAGAGGTTTGTAAACTTCTCTTTTGCTAAGATTCTTACTGCAAGTCGAGAAACGCTGATTTCAAGAGTAGCATTTTGGTTAGCTCGTATTTAAACTTGTTTTTCAGCAATGGAATTCAAACTTTTCCATAATTTTGATTTTAAACTGAAGTGTCGAGGCTTCTGCTTGTTTGGTTCGTTATTTTAACGTGCACTCTTGAATGGGTGCAGTTCGTTTTCTGGGTGACATTTGTTTTTACGTGTAACGAAGGTTCGAGAAAGAATTGCGCATAAATTTTGAATGAGGAGATTCATTTCAGCGTCCTCGTAATTTCCTCGTGCGGAATTGAGAGGTGAAATGAAATTTCTGCCTGGGGGAGGGGAAGGGATTTGGTTGTCTGTGGTGGCCCAGATTGTCTTGTCCCCATGCAGAAAATGAGTGTGTGAAAAGCTTTTCCTGAGGGCCTCTCTCGAGTTTTTGTGTGCCGTGAGAAAAGCCCTGGGGGGGCATAAAAATGTCCCAGTAAGTGGGGTCACGGGTCAAGGGAACCCCTGGAGGCAAGTGACCTGGATTCTCTTGATTTTCGCCTCCCCCGGAGCCAGTGCAGGAAGCGTGTGCACTTGCTCAGTGGGTTTGAGTGGGTGCAGTTTTTATGGCTTTGTGTTTCCTGTGTTAAAAACTTCTCCCCCAGCCTCTGGGTTGTTGACCCTGCTGTTGGGGGAGAAAAGCAAGAATTTTTACTGCCTCCCCAGGCTCATAAAATGTCACCATTTTTGAAAAGCTCTGGGGTTTTCTTTTTCCCCGTCCTACGTTCGGGCAGTAATTAAAAGAAGTCCTCTCCGAATCGAATAAAAAGTTCATATTAACTTTCAAGCAAATAAAATCACTGTCCTGTACAAAGAAAGTCATTACAAATCTGCTCTTTTGGCTTCCGTGTTTTTTTTTTTTTTTTTTCCTCCCCTGCGATCATTTTTTCTGCCGCTGTGAAGATGATGAGATTGGGTTGATGCAATCTGTGGCGTGGGGGTCATTGAGAGCCCTCTCTCTCTCCGGGGGTTGTTTTTCTCCGGGCACATTCTTTTTTTCGCGGATGCCCTCGGGGTATTATTGCATGGTTGAACTTGAACCCTGGTTCCTGGGGGTTAACAGGATTACCATCCATGAAAAGGGAAACCGAGAGAGGGTGATCTTCAGAAACACGATGTCATTTGCATTGGTGCCCTGACATGCAGAAAAGTTTCGCTGATGGACACTTCCATTTTTTCGAAAAGATTGGGTCCCGGAATCTGCACGCTGTCCCATGACCTAGGAACTTTATGAAAATTCCTAGAACATTCGAAAATATATTCAATTTAAAAATTTGAAATGTCTTGAATAATCGACATGTAGAGTCAGATTGAATCTTATTTTGTATTTTTCGATGTATGGGGGGTTTACATCAATTTTTATTTTTCCTGCGGTTCATGCCAAAAGAGCAGATTTGTAATGACTTTCTTTGTACAGGACAGTGATTTTATTTGCTTGAAAGTTAATATGAACTTTTTATTCGATTCGGAGAGGACTTCTTTTAATTACTGCCCGAACGTAGGACGTGACGAACGAAATTGTCCCATTGAAGCCCGTGGGAAAATGTAGTCCTAACATGTGGTAATTCCGACATACGTACACAATCAATGAATTAATTATGTCCGCATCTTTGAGTATTACTGTATTCGTACGGTACGCGTACTCTTACGAAAATTATTTCTGTGACCGAAAAAAAAACGGCAACTGAGGTAAAAAAAATTTGTGGAGAACCTTCAATTTTTGCTTCCTGATTGATGTATTAAATGCTCTAGGCTTAATTCTTATTAATTGAAAAAATAATAATTTAATCATTTTTTTTAATAATTAATTTCATAATTAATTCTTTTTTAGGCTGGGCTGTTTTAAAAATTGCTCTTCTTTCCCCGTTGATTAAAAAAATGTAAGAATGGTGTCGATTTTCCGCCGTTTCAATTCCCCTGTACGCGTATGGAAATGTATATACAGTAGTTTTTGTTAATTTCCTCTTCTAGATATAGCCTACCTCATTTTTGCAAAAAAGGAAAAAAAATGTCTCAAATGTTTATGGTACGAACATGTACGATTACGAAAGCAAAATGTTATCAATAATTTCTCGTACAGTTACCGAAAACAAATTCGTCATGGTAAGGGAATTCAACGGCTGATAGTCTTTATCTGGACGGCATTATTTTTGTCATGGGGAACTTTCCCGAACCTTTGAATTGCGTTCTTTTTTGGACGACTTTTGGGGGTTTTATCTGTCAGTACAGTGTTGTCAGTTCTCCATTGCCTTCACTCATAGAAGTCCCGTATTGTCAGGTGCACTTTTTTTGTAACTTTTTCGCGGTTTCTGGACTTGAGAATGGAAAAAAATTGAGATCAGTCGAGTTTCAGTGATCGTCCGAATACTATATTTACATGATTATCGAATCGTGAACATTTGCGAAATTCGTGGTCTTTGATCTTTACAAAATTATGTAACCTTTTTTGGGTTTTAGAGCTTTCTCTTGTTTGTGTGAGGAGTAATTTTGTGAAAATCGGTGAAATCCCCCGGAATGGGACAGAATGTGGGAAGGTTGAATGCGGAGAATGCTGCGTCACCTAGCAAAGGTGAACATAGGAGCGCCCTTCGTGTCGTTTCAAGTTTGAATCCTAGATGTCGCACAAGACAAATTTATTTTATAACGCCAGATCTCATGCTCCACGTGAAATTCCCCGCTTTTGAACAAAGCACACGATTACCACATCCTATTACTGTATTTGATATACACCATTGGATTTCGTACACCGTTTGAAGTGCTAGTGCTGATCAGATGAAAAATTATGTATTACTTCGGTAAATAAGTCATTCAGATTTTCATATGTGAAGTACTCTGCGCCCTGATGCGAGACCGCTCACTTCAATCTTTGAGATGAAACTTTTTAGAAAAATCCATCCCCGCCAGTAGCGCAACCCGATTTTCGGCGGCACAAAGATACAGTACATTTATTTTAGGAAATGGACTCTACAATTGGAAACTTGAGACTGATGTAATGAAAATTATATTGGGCTGCATTTTTTTTTCGAATTTTTATCTGCAAGCTTGTTTTGATTTAACTCATTCTAGTTTCTGAAAAGGATTTCTTAGAGTTTTACCGAATTTAGGTACCATATTAAAAGGAAAAAAATTTTGATTTGCTGTGATGTACTGTAAAATCAGGAAACAAAAGTAGAAGAAATATTTTCTGTACTGCATGATGCAGAAATGTGCCGAATATTGAGAATGTAGAACCGGTGTTTTACAAATAAGACATACAGGAATCAGATTTGCTTGCACAGCTACTTGTTCAATTTGCCTGCAATTTTAATGATGGGAAGGTTGGCAGTGGGTTTTTAACAAGGATAGTCATTGTAAAAAAAAATTTGGGTGGTACAAACTCTGCTGATCACTTCTATCATTCCAACACCGAGTTGAAAGGAAGGAAACTTCTGCTTTTGGATCTCTCAAAATTTATGTCTACTTGTGAAAACCAAAATTTTTGTAATCGCAAAAGAAAACCCCAGAAGCAAAAGGCAGACCCATGCCAGAAAGCGCTAGGTACCAATAAACCTGTGAGCCATTTAGTAAATTTACTGCTGTCTAGATGTCGCTTAATGATCAACAAACCTAGTTCTGAAATAACCCCATTTCATATTGAAATTGAAAGAGAAAACAAACAGCAAAACAAGGTTTGCACCCATAAAATTATTTGACAAGTTTACAGCATCTCCAATACTCCCAATGTTATTGCTTTGACATGAACAGCTAAAACTGAAACATGAATTTTTTAGACCAGTAGCCAACCCAGGTATCTGATCAATTTTACTTCCAAGCAATTGCCCCAAGGAATTGTTTCAATGATGCAGATCACAGCTATGAATTCAACAACTGCAGTAAAATCTTGTTACAACAAACTTCTAGTGACCTGACAATTTAAAAAAATGAAACAGCAGTTGAACCTCGATTTGTCGAACCTCCCCAACTCTAATTTGTTTTCCAAATCCCTTTCTCAATTCCCTGAGAAACAATTCATTGAAAATCTCCTGTAACTCAAAGGCTTTTACTCCCAAACCTCCTTAGTCAAATTTTCTGAAGCCTTTGGCTAATGTATTTCAGCAATAAAGAAAATTAACTTTATTTACTGTGAAAGGAAGTGGAAGAATAATTGGGCAAATGAAGACCTGTCTCCAAGTTCAGCATGCTGCAAACTCATTTAAGAAGCAATTCGAGACCCAAAATATCAACATTTGAAATTTCCTGCAATTCTTCTATGTTCCCCACAACAAAAATGCTTGTTTCCCTGACTTGGAACCTCCATGAATCAAAACATACCAAAGTCAAAACCTCTTCAAGTCTAATTATTTTGCTGGTCCCTTGAACGTTGACTGAGAGATGTTCCAACTTTATCAAGTTTTAAAAAACATTTTCGATTGTATTTACCCTTATGTTGAGTGCCATAACAAAACTTGGAATTTTTGCACGGGAATAAAAGTTTGGGTACTTTCCTGTCATTGCAGTACATACTTTCCTGCTATCTCTGTACCTTCCCTCTGACCAATTTAACCTGACCTAACCTAACTTCACCTAACTGCCTCTCATCCTAAAGATTTGTCTGGATGGTAGTGCGGTCGAGGAATGAGGTACTGAGATAACAGGAAAGTACCAACGTTTGTTAACCAATAGGGTCCACTGCATTCATCTGATTTTGATGTTTTTTTTTTTGTCTTTTCTTGTTGCTTGTTCTTTTCCGCCGTCTCCCCACAATGACGGGAAATCAGGAGCGTCTGAAGGAGCAGCTCTGACCGGCACCCTGAGCAGCAGCAGGAGCAGCAGCACCAGCAACAGGACGGAGGTAGCTGGCCTGACCTCAGAAGGTGAGTCGCGTTCACCAGGTGGCGCCGCGGAAGAAAGCATGTTCGACTCTGGCACGGAATCCGGAGACGACCACGACGCCTTCGTCGACCCCGGCATCATCCGCGACGCCGTGGCGGCCCTCTCTCGTCTCCGCGCCGCCCTCTCTGTGTCTCGCGCCCCACGCGCCACCGAGCTTCTCGGCCTCGTCGACCGCCTCTCGTCCGCCCTCCGCCCCGCGCCGCCGTCGTTTGACTTCACCCTGGGCTACATGCCGAGCCACTCCAAGTCGATGGACTCTGTGTTTCTCGCGGCACAGATGGCCGGCGCCACGAGTCATCATTCGCCGCCGTTGCAACAACAACATCAACAACAACATCATCATCATCAGCCGACACCGCCGCCGACGCACCCGCGACGTGCCCGGCGGTCGCACACGAGCAACGCGATCGCGGAGAAACTCGCCGCCATGTTCCCCGCGTCGTCATCGTCGATGTCGTCGTCGTCGTCGTCATCTCCGCGCCCTGCAGCAGCAGCAGCAGTGGCGGTGGCGGCACTTGGTGCTGGTGTCGGGCCTCCGCCGCCTCCTCCGGCGGCGCCACCTCCTCCTCCGTCTCCCTCGCCGCTAGTAACTCAGTTTCCGCCACCCGTGGTGAAGGTGGCCGGCGAAGACAAGCGGTTCGCGGGCGCCTGGCTCCCGCGGAACGCTCTGGCGCCGGCCAACTTGCCGCGAGGGCGGTCGCGATCTCCCAAACCCGTGGCTGCTGCTGCTGCTGCTGGTGGCGGCGGTGTGGGGTCGTCGATGATGACGATGCCGTCGACGAGTAACCCGATGCCGTCGTCTTCGTCGTCGCCGTCGCCGCAACAGCGGGCGTTTGAGGCGACGATGGACGCGCGGATGGCGGAGCAGAAGCAGCGGGCGTTGAAGGCGTTCCTCGCCAAGCCCATGTTGCGGCGGAACACGATCGACCAGGAGTTTGACGCCCTGGCGGACACTGCCATCAAGGAGTGTCCCGCCGCCGGCGACGTGTTTGAGAAGAAGCTGACCAAGGCCAAGTCGTTGGACGCCGGCGTGTTGCCGCCGCCGCCGCCTGGGTTGTATGATTTGAGCGCGGCGTATGCGCGCTTCAGTGAGTATCTCCTCCTCCTCGTGGCTGAGCTGGACGGGTGCTGCATGCAGGACACTCGGACTCGAACAGTTCTAGACTACAGCTGCTCTGCTGCTACTACTGTACTACCACCACCACTACCGTTCTCGTGCTCCCGCTCTGCCGTGTATACACACTTCGATGAGTGCATGTCTCGTGTAGATCCCACCTGATGAGTTGCAGTGGCTTGGCACAACTACAGTACAGTTCAGTACAGTACAGTACAGTTCAGTTCAGTTTAGAGGTTCTTCAGGCATCTTATTCAGGGCTCCAGTCGGGTTCTCTCGCGTATATATACTGTATCTATATACAATAGTTGCACGATACGAGGGTTGGTTCATGAGATGCGAGACTTTTTTTTTTAAATACGGTAGATCAAACGGAGTTTCAACAATTCCAAAAAGTTGTTTTACGTGCATATAGCCCCATTATTTGGCAACACTTCAGCGCAGTTCAACACACTCTTCGCCAATTTCAATGCATTTTATCATGCAATAAATGCAACGATCAAAACAGTGGCAAAAATCGAGTTGTGTTAGCTGATTAGACACACCGTTAAGTTCTTGGGCATTTCTCTCACCAATTTACCATCCATTTAGCTGAATTTAAAGATTACCTCCAGCATAGAGGGACTTCTACTTTTTTTTCACTTCAATGTTATTTTTGTGGATACCAACATTTCAATGTACGTAGTACAGAGATACACTATTCAATTCTCCAAATGTTTTTATTGAGTTGAAAATGTATTCATTAATTCAAATTCAAGTGGCAAATATTTTTTTGAGGGAATTCTGAAGAATATTTCTTCCATAAAACACCAATTAAATATTACATAATGGATGTCTATGGGAAAACATGACTCGACTTAGGGACAATTCAACTTGGGGACACTCTTGAAAGTCTTGATGCACCAATTATGTCCGCATCTCGGGGTCTCACTGTACTCTCCGCCGATTTCCATGCGTTTTTTCATGTGATGAACGGTGCGAAAAATCGAGTGACGTTAGTTGATGAAGCTGTTTTTTGGCGATGGAAATGAGGCTGTCCCTGTCGTCGAGATTAATCCCATTCATGTCGTTCTTCACTTGTCGGGAACATTTAAAAAGTCACGGTGTGTCTAATCAGCTAACACAACTCGATTTTTGCCACTGTTTTGATCGTTGCATTTATTGCATGATAAAATGCATTGAAATTGGCGAAGAGTGTGTTGAACAGCGCTGAAGTGTTGCCAAATGATGAGGCTATGCGAGTGGACATTTTTTCAGAATTTTTGAAACTCCGTGGGACCGATTTCAATTTTCGAACAGTCGAAACTCATGACCCAACCCTCGTACAGTTATATACGAGGGGTCCAACGAAAGTTCTTGAGATAGAAATTTAAATCGCGTATGTTTGAGCTGAAAAACAATTATTTTTCAGAAGAAAAAAAACATCCCTTGAAAAAAAACTTCAGTCCTGCTTGACGTATTTTAGTAATTTGTTATTGTTGCTGACGTCATCCTCTGGCAGCTTTCTGCTGTTCACCCGAAAGATGAGGCGCCCATTTCGCAGATTTTTTTGTATGTTGCCCAGCTTCTCCTTCAGCATTCTTGAAATTGGCGCGGCTTAAATTCCTAGGGTTGCCTCCCGATCTTCCAAGGTAACTCCGCCATTTTCATTGAGCGCATTCTCGTTCAAAGTGGCGACTGTTGATTTGATAAAAATGGCGGGATTTTTAATCAAATAAAACCCGTTGAATTTTTGCCATGTCAATTTCAAGAACTCTCCTGGGGTGCAATGGAAAATCTGCGAGATCGGCGCCTAATTTTTTGAGTGAAGAGCAGAAAGCTCCGAGGGTAACTTTTGCAAAAATTTTCTGAAAAATATGCCAAGCGGGGCTGATGTTTTTGTGCCAAAGAAATTTTTTTTCTGAACAATAATTACTTTAGAGCTCGATTGTACGCCGTTTCAATATCTGTTCCGAGGACATTTGTTAGACCACCTCGTACAGTACAGTACACAATAGATCTTTTTTCATTAGATTACCTCTGCTGTGTTGCAGTCCGACTCGGGGGTAAAGATGGCCATCTCATCTTTGCCGCACTTTCAGTGGTCAATCTGGTCGCAATCGCTCAGGTATGATGAGGTTCTTCAAGTTGCGAATGAACGGACGGGCGCTGTAATGATGAGTTACAGCAGCACCATCAGCGAAGAACGGCTTTCTTACTTTGCCAAAAGTTGATTGGAAAATAGTTTGAAAAGAGAGATACTATTTACTGCGAAAGGAAAGCATCCATGGATCCTTTGGAGATTGCTGTGCGGCTCTCTAGAAGTGCGCGTGGCAGGATGAGAGTCATTTTTCCGGAAAGAAAAGTAGCCTAGCTGTTGAAAGATGAGAAGAAGTTTAGTGTTGTAGTCAAACTGGGCAACTTTCCAGACTTGAAAAGAATACAGTACGTTTATACTGAAGGCTGAGATTACTTGAAAAGATGTACGCCGAATTGGATCCATTTGAAAGATAGGGAAACCCACAAGTGTCTGGACCGAACGCACGATACCGGAGGATGAACAAGTGTACTCAAGCGACATCTACCCTGTATATTATCGTCGAAGGATGCGCTGGGAGGATTCGTCCCCCAGGTGACACCTGAAAGGACAGCTCGAATCGTTCTCTGGTATTCAGGACGTCTATAAAAAAGGTTTAGGTGACCTAGAAATCCCAGACTAATTACCTCAGATGCGTGGATAACGAACACCAGTTGTCAGCGGCGCAGAAAATAGATCTAGTGAGCGACTCGTCTCCAAAAATTGTCTGTGCTCAATTCTCAGAACTCGGGACGGCATTCCAGAAAATTTCCGCCATTGAAACTCGCATGAAAAAGAAGCCAGTGTGCGGTTTGATTTCAGAAAGCTGAGGATTTTTCTTGCTCAGCTGCTATAGAAGCAAATTTGAATGCTTGTGTTTGAAACCGTGAGTTTCAGTTTCGAGAGTATGACGGAGAGCAGGGTTTTTCTTCATTGGATGAAATCAGCGACTCGATGCCTCGTACAAAAACTGCTCAAAAAGGCATTCAAAGGAAGCTGACTTCTATCATACATTTTTTGCCTGTTCTCGGAAAAATTTGGAAAGGAACTAGGAAACGCTGGAGGCTGTACGTGGGCGTGATGCTGAGGCAAATGAGGAGAAGAAGCTCAGAAAAAAAGAGGACTGTGAACCACAACCCATAGATTTCTTATTGTAGAATTTGAAGTGAGCAGTTGTGGCTCCTAGAGTCGGATTCAATCCAGAGAGAAAGATTTTTGTGGTCGGAATTTCCTGAAAAGTTGAGGCTGGGCTTTTTGCAGCGTCATCATTTCGAGCGAATCACCAGGAGAGCTCTGTGAGGATCACTATTGCGCAGAAGATGGCCGCCTCTTTTTCGTAGTCTTTTTATTGGGTGGACTGCAGGAGATGATGAAGACACTTGAAGACATTCCCTGTGGCTTTTTTTTTTTTTTGTGGAAAAACGCTGAGAATTTTTCAGCTCTCTGCCTTGAAGTGTGCTAACTATTATTTTTCACTAGATTTTTCAGTATTGATTTTTTCATTTGAAATCTTGAATGTTTTCAAGGTTGACGGATGTACTTATTGTGTTTTACTCGAGTTGCATGATGTGTTTGAAGCATGGCGACAGAGTAGAGATTTGGAAATATCTGAGCCCCGGTTTGTTTTCTCTGTTCCCGGTGCGTCTTGGGGAAAACTTGTTGAATGTCCCTCATACATTCCTTGACCTGTAAAAAAATAAGATGCGCACATTGTTCACCAATGGCTGGAGGAGAATTTCCCGGCTGCGGATCCGCCTTCTGAAGGTACTTTGTGCTTTAGCCAGTGCCACCGAAACCCCACCTGGCACCCTTGACTTTGCCCTGTCACTGGCCTTTTGTCCCCTTTAATCCTGGTGTGATTCGCTGTCTCGATGTGCCTAGAGGATCCCCCGGGGGTGCTGATCCATCTTCTTTCTTCTCTTCTGTGGTCTTTGTTGAAGGATCCCCGGCCAAGAAGGAGGTGGCTGAGAAAACCCTCGTTAGTCCTGATGGGCGCAGTCTGACCAAGATCACAACGGAAACCGGTGGGTCATTTTTTTTAAAGTTTTTCATGTGTCATCCACACCTGCTTATTCTCGAATGTAAATTGCGCTGTTGGAAAATGTTTAGACCAGTACTGTATGTGGTTGATGTCAATCAAATTTGCTATTTGCATTCGAGCTGTCTCGTCCTCTTCATCGTTTTCTTATTTTAATATTTGAAATCTTCGTTTATGCAATGAAGCTCTAATGGGGACACCTCATTGCGAAAGTAATTCCTATTCAAGCGTGAGGTGAATTATGTGAAAAATGCCTTGGGTGAAATACGATTTTCCCTTGATGTAAATTGAAAACATTATGATTTTCCGCGACTTCCACGAGCGGACGAAAATAACAGACCTTAGAAACCTGTGAATTTAAAAATTTATCACTGTGAATTGTATACGTTTAAAATATTATCTCGACAATTATAAGCTTTCGCCTATTTTCTAGTCACTAATTGTTGGAGCCAATAAATGCAAAAGTCTTCCTCTGTACGTATTTCCAAACATTGGTCTTGAAATCACTGTACGATACTGTATTTGAATTTCTGCATTTTTCCCAAGGAAAATTTAGTGGTTTCACTTTTTTCGATTAAAAAAAATGAATTACGCTGTTCTTTTGTTTCAATTCATTAGTTATGTTGGGGCCCACTGCAATAAGTTACCGGTACGTACGTGTCCGGAATAAAAAGTAGAAGACAATAAAAACTGGCATTTATTATAGATTTAAAAAATGACTCGAACTAAAAACTGCGGGAAAATAAACTTGGATGCGCAGTTGGTAAGGTTGGGTGACGCATAAAATTACCTGTAACTTGTGTTCCCAATTCTTTTTTTAATTGCCCATAATATTTTCAACCCTGTGTCTGCTGTTGATTTCAGTGAAAAGTGAACCTTCGCCCGGGACAACCTTCACGAAAACGTCACGTGTTGTGGAGACCAGGACGACCTATGGTGGGAAAGGTATGTTTTTCATCTTGCTATACACAATAAAATCCTGTTACAACAAAAATGGTTGAAACACTGTTTTTTTCTGGGTCCTGGCAATTTTTTCAAAGCAACCAAAGCATAAAATCCTCTTTTAAGGAACACATGTTATCTGTTATACTTTCAGTATGACTCACTGTCCTAATTCCGTATTTGGCCTGCATAAGGATTATTTTATTATTTGGAGATAAATAGGAAAAGCTATCTTGTCTACATTACAAATTTTAAAAAGCTGAAGTTTTTGGAAATACGATTTAGTATTGCAAAAAATGCTCAACATACTATTTTTCTTTGAGTTGGTTTAGTTTCATTGAATAATTGAGCAATGGCTTCCTTCTTTCATTAAACAGTGTGTTAAGAAGAATATTTCTCTTTTCCAAAGATCATTTTGAGTTTGAATGAATGTTTTAGGAGGTATAACAGGTGGACTTAACAAAATCTTGTCTACAAAGATTTTCTCCAATAACTAATTTTCTTTGGCCTAATGGGGTTATTTCCCCCATGTTAAACGTTTTCTCTACAATAAAATTCAAGGTACCAAGAAAAATTCGCTGCAGAGAGAATTTCCTTGTAGAGATAGCCCACCTACTTCTTAGGATTTGTCACGTTGGCTTAATTTTATTTTTCAAGAAAATCATAATTTTATTAGGTAATTTGACGTCAGGCAGGTTCAGTATGAGAGTGCATTAGTGTACAACATATAAATGTTCCGTTTAATTTAACTAAAGAGAGTTCGAAATGATGAAACTCAATGTCTTGAAGTTTGTGTTCCCAAAGTTCTTGATAGGATTTATTGCCCATTGCCTACAAAATTGTAGTCCTAGGTGTACAGTTGAACCTTGATAACTTAAACCTCTCTGAGTCAATTTTTTTTTTTAAGTCCCCACCTGAATTCCCTTAGAAACAATGCAATAAAAAACTCTCTAACCCAAAGGCTTCTCCTCTCAAACCTCCTTAAGTTGAATTTTCCGAGTTCTTTTGCCTATTATTTTATTGACTCAGGAAAGAGAAAAGCAATAAAAAATAATTTGATGCATTTTTAAAGGAACTGAAGGATTAATTGGGTAAATGAACCCTTGCCTCCAAGTTCAGCAATCCGTCAATTCATTTTGGAAGCAAATTAAAGGCCAGAATATTACCATTTACAATTTCCTCAAGTTTTACTATCTTTCCCATGACAAAAATGCTTGTTTACCTAACTTACATTTTTTGCTGTCCCCTTGAAATTATATTGAATGGGGGTCTACTGTATTAAAAACCATGAGGCTCAATAAATGTTGACTCTCCATAGAATGCTCTTGTCTACAATGGATTTATCTGTATAACAAATTTTGGTACTTTCCTGTTATCTCTGTACCTACTTTCCTGTTACCTCTGTACCTTCCCTCTGACCAATTTAACCTGACCTAACCTAACTTCACCTAATTGCCTCCCAAAACCAGTTTCTACTTTCTTTGGGTTTCTGCTGAAACTGATTTTGGGAGGCGGTTAGGTAAAGTTAGGTCAGGTTATGTTAATCAAAAGATATTTGTAACTAACATGACCTGACCTAACCTAACTTCACCTAACCGCCTCCCAAAATCAGTTTCAGCAGAATGGGGAAAAATAAAATTCACAGTTTTTGGTAGGTCATTGTGATTATGAACTTGTCCTAAAGATTTGTGTGGATGGTAGTGTGGTCTAGGAATGAGGTACTGAGATAACAGGAAAGTACCCAAATTTTTATTTGGTCCCATAGGGTTGTCTCCCCATGCTACATTATATTGGTTCTCTAAAAAAATTATCTGTATGGAGAATCTTTTTCCTGTCCCTTGAGTTTCATTGTATAGATAGAGTCCACCGTTTAAAAAAAAAATTTTTCAGCAGCACAGATTTTTGTCCAGGTCCTCGAAAGTTTGTTGTAACAAGATTTCGCTGTATCCTTGGCTTGTGATGAAATATGCCGATTTAATGCCTTCTTTTTATTTTGCAGATGTGAAGCCTGTGTCCCCGTTTGACAAGTTCAGGCAAATGGATGCTGCCAGTGGAGGCAACAGGTGAGGATTGTTTCCCCCCCAGTTTTGGCAAAGAATGAGGTCAGCTCAGCTTGAAACCACCGGAGGGAAACCCGGGGATGAGATTTGTTGAACCGCGTGCCTTGTAAAAAGGTTTCTCTGTGCTTCCTCCATCTTCACGTGCATCCAGGGTTTTGGCAGAACATTTTGACTAGTGCTTGTTTTTCGTTGGCTAGTTGGTTTTTTTTTTTTTTTTTTGAGCACAAGCTGACCCGGATTGCCTCTTTGACGACCAGACGCTTTCTTTTGCTCAAAATGTGTACGTTGGACTAATCTGAGGTGAAGGAGACAATCCGGATTTTGACTTGCACTGACAGTGGTTTCAACCTGTCTGGTTTTTTTTGCCCGCACATGCGTCAACCTGCTTCTCTTTAGGCCAAGTTTTCCTGGCGTTTGAGAGACTTGAATAAGCTGGGTCCTGATTGAGTCCCTTTTTCTCTCTATAAATTTGAATGATTGATGGTCAAAATTCTTGTGCTCTTTGCCGAAGACTGATCTCGAATTAGCTGAGCGAATTCCTGGAAGACCTCATGTATTATTGGGTTTTGCTGTGTACTGCCTTTTTTTGTGATACAGTCAAACCCCGTTAAAGCGCCAACCTCGTAAATTTATTTTAAAAAAAACTTCCTAACGATAATAGCATTAGAAACCCTGTTACCAAGCCATCCGCCAAAATGTTTGACTGCTCAAACATGCTCTTGCCAATTATTTTTGTTGTCAACAAGATTCAAGCTTCTGTGAGAAATCTTTATTTAAAAAAAAGATGACATAATATACTTCTTGGGATCATCATAGCTAGACATAATTTACATATATCAGGGTTATTTTGATTGTTTTCTAGAGTGATAAAAATGGCATTTTCTATTATTTTTGCTTTTCAAATTATTTTACCCTTTTTGATGAACAACCAACCCCATTAAACTGCCAGAAACAAATGGTTGGCGGCTTACCGAGGTTTGACGGCAATAGAAGAACCAAAATCGAACAGTTCAACCCTAGCATTTTTGATCCAATATACAAGAGCTTCTTGGATTTTATTAAACTTCTGCAAAGTGGCGGTTATCTTGGGCAAATTAATAGAAAGCCCTTATTATTGGTATTAATTTAAATGTCCTATTCTGCTTTTTTTTTGTCAAGTGAAGCAGTTCAGTTCGACCTCAATAATGGGGCATCCAAAAAATTGAAAAATTTTGAATTCAGTGTCAGTCCAAATGCAAATTTAAATTCTGATGAGTTTTCTTGTGAAAATATTGCAATACGATGGTTGATCCAGTTGGACGCTGCCACTTGACATCTCTGAAGTAAGTGTGATTGTAAAAAAAAAGGACATAGCCCATGATGTTCTAAGACTGTGGGATTTTTTTTTTCAAGAAAAATTTCAATTTACTGACTGATATTTCCATTGAGTAATGAGTAAGATTTCCAGTTAACCCATGTTCATGAGGCAAGAATATGTTATTTATTGTTTTGTTTCAAACATTATCTTTTCGTCATTTTAGAAAATGGTTAAAAAAGGAGAGCTTTCCTTTGTTAGCTGGCCTGATGAATTCTAGCACAAATGGGTGGAAAACCCTGGCTGTGACTGGGAAGGTTAAACTTATCATTCAGTAAATTGAAAACCCCTTTTTTAATGAAAGAAAAATTCCAGAACCTTGAAACGTTATGGGCTATGTCATTTTTTAAAAATCACACCTACTCTAGAAATATCAGAGGCCGCGTGCAACTGGGACAACCCTTGGGTAATGATCCAGGGGCAAATATAGTGGAAGCAGTTGGCACGGATATAGCTTGCACAGCAGAGCCTTGCTTATTGGTTTCAGGCTGACTTGTAATTAGCCTTGCTCTGGTTAGCCCTGAGGGTGTTTGTGCCCAAGTGACTGATTGCTTTTTCCTTAGAAGTGGATCAGCTACTAAAACCGGCACTCCGGCATTCAAGCTGGACCCTGGGCTTAGCCGCTCTGCTTCCTCCATTAAGGATATGTTACTGCAGTGGTGCCAGGCAAAGACTAGGGCCTACGAGGTATGCTAACCGACTTGACTCGAGTGCTTTGGGACTGATGATGATGATGGTTATGATGTGTGTGTGTGTGTGTGGCCCGCGCGGTTTTCATGCTGTGGCCACACTCTCTCACTGAATCCGTATATACAGTACTATACGTGTTGTAATCGCCTTATTGCGTGAGAACGAGGAATAAGAAAACGCTGTTCACCCGAGAGGAAATGAGTGCTTGTGACGTTGCTGACGAAATGTCGCGTGCGTTTTTTCAGAATGTCAAGATCGAAAACTTCAGTGGGAGTTGGAGCGACGGATTGGCGTTCTGCGCACTCATCCACCGCCACTTCCCAGATGCCTTCAATTTTGAGGAACTAAGTCCCCAGAACAGACGTCAGAACTTTGAGCTGGCCTTCAGAATTGCCGAGTGAGTCACGATTGATTGACGTAACGTTCTCATTTTCGCATCCCGAATATACTGAGAAATGGGGAAAATATCGTTTTACAGTTGAACCTTGATAAGTCGAACCTCCCTGAGTTGATTTGTTTTCAAGTCCCCAGCTGAATTCCCTGAAAAACAATGTATTAAAAGCCTCTCTAACTTGAAGTCTTTTTCTCTTAAACCTCCCTACTTTGAATTTTCTGCCGCCTTTTGCCCATCATCTTTCATGCAACTTGATGTGTTTTGAAAGGAAGTGACAGACGAAGTGGGCAAATGAACCCCTGTCTCCAAGTGAAGCATGCTTTAAACTCATGTAAGAAGTAATTTCTTAGGCCCAGAATATCACCATTTACAATTTCCTGCTATTCTTCTATCTTTCCCGCAAAAAATACTTGTTTCCCTGATTAGAAACCTCCGTAAGTGGAAACCTCCCCAATCAAAACCTCCCTAAGTCAATTTGTTTTGCTGGGCCCTTGAAATTCAACTCAAAAGAGGTTCAACTGTTTGATAAGTCCCCAAAGAGAGGCCATGTGAACAAAAACTGTTACAATGAGATCCATGATTGATGAAATGTTGAAACAAATTTTTTTCTTGGCCCAGCACTTTCTCCATAGCTACAGTGTTTTAAAAATCTTGTTTTAACAAACTCATTTTTGGCTTTAATCTCAGTAAAGAAAAAAATTAGGCCTCCTCATGTCATCAGAGAATTGGAAATTATGACACTTCTTAAATGATTTGTTTTAGAAGCACTTTACAGTCATTATTACCCATATCCCCCAAATTTCAGTCTAAAATCTGTTGAAAACTATGAATCTTTATAAATCGGATTTTATCAGGTCCCTGAGAGTTTTTCGTAACTAGATTTTACTGTATGTGTTTATGCAGTAAGTGCTTCCGTGACAGATTTAATCTAGGACTTGTTGTTTAGTCTCCAACTTCTTTTTGATGAAATAAGGCAAACAATTTTACTACTTCTTATATTTGAATGCTCCCTGCTTCAAAATTTCCTTGAAATGTACGAATCTTGCTAAAATTGCTGAAATATGAACTAAAACAATATGTGTGGAAGAAAAGCATGCGTATTGTTTTATGCATACATGTTTGTTTGAAAGAAAAGAGCAATTATATCCGAATTCTGAGAAAAATATCATGCTGCATATTTTTATAATGCTAATTTTTCTAAAAAAAAAAACTTGGCATTTCTTCTTCCTTGATTAACTTTTGATGCTGCCAATTTTTTTTCATTCATCTGTTAATCAGCAAACATTCCTTTGGCGCATGTACAGGAAAACCTTTTTATGCTAATATTTACAGGTGAAATAAGTTTGATAATTTTTTTAAAAACTTTGTTATTCTTTTTACACTGCTGGGACCCATTGAAAATTTCATTGTAATTAAACATGTGCTATATTGGCTGCGTAAAAGAATTCAAATGAAAGCCTCATTTTAGTTAAACAAATCTTGCCTATTGTTTCAAATTTCAAAATGTTCCAACAGCAAAAAGTACGCCTCTGTTGAAGTGATTGAAAATAGACCATGCTGGAAATTGCTCATGTACATCATGATGAGAGTCAAGTTGGATTTGAGGGATCCCCCCGAATCCCTTCTGTACTTGACTGTATAAAACAGTATAAATGCAGTTCATGCTCATCAGTTCATGATGATTGTTTGGAATGTGTGATATGATGCTATACTGTACCTGATGCATGGCGCGCTGTGCACTGTATTTGAGTACAGCAGTATTGTACTATATATAATTTGTTTGCATGTTTCCTTTGAACAGGGAGAAGGGAGGAATTGCACCTTTGCTGGAAGTGGACGACATGGTGCGAATGGCTAGGCCGGATTGGAAGTGCGTTTTCACCTATGTGCAGAGCATTTACAGCGCCCTACGGAAGCTGCAGATGACATAATGCGCGCCAGAGGGCGCTGCACTTTTAAGTTATTACTCTCTCGCACTTCGGCTTACGTTTCCGGCATTTTGATTTTTTTTATCGTATCACGCTTCTCCGTCCGGCCCATTAACCCAGTGTACATAGGACACTTAATCATTTTTCTGCAACTTTGTGGATGCCCCTTATTGGGGCTTCAGAAGGGAATCTTTTTTTGCTGGGTTTTATTTCCTTGAATTGAATTTGAAATGCTAACCAGTGACTGCTGGAGGAAAGTTTTGTGACTTATTTTCTGCTTTTTTGGATCTTGCATTAAAGGATGTATGGAGGGACTACGCTTTCAAACGGTTTCTGTGTCAGTTTCTTTGTCTTATAGTACGTGTATTTATATATTTGTTGTCTAATTCAGTGCGTACAAGTACCAAACCGTCTATTTGCCCGCAGTAAGTAGAACACGCACCTTGATAAAAATGTTTTCAATTTTGCCCAGACGATACTCAAGTGAGATCCCATTTTTTGAACATCTTATTTTCACAATTCGTCGAGACAAAAGCAAATTTTATGAGATGAAAAATCTGTAAGTTCAAGTACAATATCAGCATTAGCATGAGGAAACGTTGGAGGAATCTCACTTGATCAAACATCTTCCAACAACAGCACATTCAAACCAGGATCAAATCATCCAGATGATTCAAAAGATACTGGGGAAAACCGCTCGAGAGTCCGAGGAAAAATGAGCCAGTATAAAGATCTATCATAGGAAAATCAACCCATCATCAGTCCGCATGAAAAGTACACATCCACAGAGAATGCAGCTATCAATTACAATTTCCAAAAATTGTTCTTCAGACGAGAGATTTCCCGTATTTGGAATACCACATCTCAGAACTGATCGGTTGACTGTTCCCTCTTGGGTGAAGGGATTTGACAGCAAGGGCGACCATACAATCAAGCCTACAAATTCAATACATCGGAAAAATGTCTATTTTGATGGTGCACATCATCTTGGCAGACCAACTATTGAGAGCGCCAGCATTCATACATCCTAAATTGATCTTAAGCCCTAATTTTATTCCATCTTTTTTGCATTATTCAACAGTATATGTGCACACGATCTTTCATGAAGCGCAAACATTTTATCTATTCTGGTAAATTGAGACGCGTGGTGATCCATAGAACACCTTCCGTTGCAGGTTTCATCTTTCGGTAGACAGGGTTCTTCTGATTTCGCCCACATTTTCAAGGACTGGTTCGGAATAAAACCGAACACATAGCACAAAAAGCGTTTATTTCGTTAAACTGTACACGGAACAATGAACGTAAAATATATCACTCCACTGAGAGACGGAATATTCTGCTGAGAGATCTTTCAAAAATTCTGTCTCGACTTTTGAGCGTTTCGAAAATGGGTTTGCATTAAAAAGAGAGCCTCTTTTGTTCGCGGGATACGAGTTCTCCTCAAAAGCGTAGGTTTTGGCACTACTGGCTCCCGGGTGGTACCACAAGGCTGGTATCCGGTGTTTGGCTCCTGCTTGAGCGACCAATGCTTCTTTTCTTCTCAAAGTTCAACAGCCTGCTTTTCTGTGGAACAAGGATATAACATATATTCAAGCTTCACATCCGGTTCATCATCTCCAAGGAATTACAGAGAAAACTCTCCTTAAATAATTTATTGTACATCATCGCTTCAGCATCAGTAAGAAAAAACTTAATCTTGCATTAAAACCATGCGTTTCTTTCTAGAGATGACTATTTCAGGACGGCATACTTATGCATACAGAATTAAATGAAATTGCTCTTAAATTGACATCGATGCACAAATTAAAGAACATTAAATAACTCTGATCAACGGCTCTCAGGAAACTTTTACATACAGTCCAACATTTTCAAGTTGAACTCAAGCCAAACACAAAAATTCGACTCGGTGAGTTTTTGAGGTGGGGAAACCAGCATTTTTATTGCATAAAAAACCAAAATTACATCGGGAAGGTGAATTTGGTGATATTCTCAGCCTTTAAATTACAAAATGGTTAAATGAATTGACAGGGATGCTGAACTCGGAGGCAAGGTACGTTTGCCCAAGGATAGTGACTCACTTTCTTTTGAACAGCATCTAAGTACATTTTTATTGCTTTTCTCTTGCATGGGTCCCCAGTAAAATAACCCAAAGGTCTCCAGAAATTGAAGTTGGGCAAAGGTTCAAGGAGAAAAGTCTTCCAAATGAGATTAAAGGAAGGTCAGTGTATGTATAGAGTAAATTGAATTTTTAGAAATTCAGAGGGGGATTATTGAAAAAAAATGACACAAAGAGGTTCAACTTGGCAAGGTCCAGAAAGCTCAAATTAGCAAGATTTTGATCAAATTTTGTTGTTGAAAATTAGCACTACGAGAAGACAAATCCTTGAGCCCTGATGAGAAGGAACACATCCTGTACATAAAATAGACATACATTAAAATACTGTACTTACCAGTCCACCCTTCTCCTTCTTGCAAGTGTCCTCCAAGGACTTCTTCTGTTTTAGTGCAATATCTTGAGCTGCCTTTTGTGCCAACTGCAGACTGTGCAACAAAATAAAAAAGTTTCATAACTCACGGATTTTCTCTCCCACACTCCAAATCAAAAGCTGAGACTTACTTTAGCTTCTGAAGCCTGACTTGCTCTTTCTTCCACACATCTTTGAAATCCAGACAGAAGGAAGACCAGGTGCTGAAGAAGTCGAAGATTGCTTTATCTGGTTTCTTGGGAGAGTAGCTGAAGAATTTGATGGTTTTCTGGAACCTCGCGTCGTTGTCCTCTAGCAATTTTCTGGTCCCATCCAACTGTTTCCGAGCTGTTGAGAGAGATAAACGCATGAAACATGATTTCACTTGCTCACAATTGGCACAAAATTCCACGCAGTGCAAAGAAAATTGATCCTGATCTTGACCAATCAATATCATTAGGCTATAGACCAATCAATTGATTAAACCAATTGTTCAATCAATTAAAACTTATCTGGGAACAGGCTGAACACCTTGTGCTCTAATTTGTGGTCAGTAATTGACTTGTGCTTTGAATATCATTATTAATATTTTTTTCATCTGAAAAAAAGATGGCAGTAACTCATCCGAGGGTTCTAACAAAAGTTCTCGGAGTCAACCACAAGCCATTGCCGGAGGTGGATGAACATTTTTTTATTCGATTCCTCATCCTTTTTTAGCCTAGGACCAATTTTTTTGTCATCCCTAGACAAAAATGGAAACTGGGAAAAAAATTGAATGAGTTTTTTCTGGTGATGTACCCACCCATTCTAACAGAAGTTCTTGGAATCAACCACAAACCGTCACCGGAGATGGACGTGGATTTNGATTCCTCATCCTTTTTTAGCCTAGGACCAATTTTTTTGTCATCCCTAGACAAAAATGGAAACTGGGAAAAAAATTGAATGAGTTTTTTCTGGTGATGTACCCACCCATTCTAACAGAAGTTCTTGGAATCAACCACAAACCGTCACCGGAGATGGACGTGGATTTTTTTATAGGATTCCTCAGCCTTTTCTGGCCTAGAATTGT